AAACGATAACGGTAACTCTATTTATTTTAGACCTCTGACGACTCACGATTAATCGCAATAATTTTTTTATCAATTTGACGCTAACGATAGCCGAAAATGATCGCATGACGTTAGATTCTATTCCAAGCCGTCTTCTTAGCCTGCTATTGGTTTCGACTCCGAATTCGACAATACAGCTGTTTATGTTATGTTTTGTGTACTGTTGTTCGTCTTTTAGTCTTTTTCTTTTTTAGCCATGGCGTTGTCAGTTTATTTTCGACTTATAAGTTTGAATGGCCTTTTGGCATCTTTCACCTCTCTTCTGTCACCACGACATGAAATATCATTAATACGATCATATTCTGTAATTTTACTGTTCATAACATGTTAAAAGTCATTTGAACAACTATTAAAGGGTCCTTTTAACCGTATTGATAACTCTTCCTTTTTTCAATTTTCTGCAATTTAATCTTTGATTTTTCGATTCTAGCACCAAAGATGACTCTTATGTAGACGTAACGCACATCTATTATCATTATCATAAGTCCTGTCTCTTTGGAGATCTATTCACATTTTGAAAATGATTTCCCCGTAAAAATAGCTAGTCGCTGATAATTCTGTTCAGCTGTCCGGGAAAATGTTAAAAGTGTATCAATGATAACAATGCAAATATTAAGTACATGTAATTTCCAAAGATCGTATGACGATTTATTGTTCACCCGGGGCTCCTTTATTGATACTAACCCTTAAGATACATAAACTTTTATGGGTATGATCAGGTGAACATTTTAATAATTTATGTTAAATATTAATTATACCCATTTGGGTAGTACTAAGACATGCATAATTAAATTCAAATTATTGAAATAACAAAACTAAGGGCATGTTTACTAAGTGCAAAATGACCTACATGCGCGGAAGAAACAAAGTCCATTTATAATGATTTTTTAACATTTGACCAGATGTTTTTTTATTAGTTGTAATATTGAATACAGAAACACATACACATATGTTTAGTATATATTGATATTAGAAAACTATAGTAGTTTAAAATAGTAGAGTTCTTAAAAAATTACCATGATTGCATAATAGCGTCATTCTACCGCGCTTGAATTTGCTCGAGGTTTGTCGAGTACTGCTACATAAATACATGATCCGTACAAATATGATACTCATGAAGGAAGCTGACCATTGAATAAGAAAGGTATGTACACATGTATATCAGTTCGTTTTTGAGGTTAAGCAACAAAGAAATTAATAGCATGGTGATGTCAACCATAATAATATAATAATATATAGATAATAATAAGATAATGATAATGGTGATTATTAGAAAAACAATAAAAGTGATGATAATAATAATAATAATAATAATAATAATAATAATAATAATAATAATAATAATCTCATCAATATTATATTTTTTTTTATTAATCATTTAAAGAAATATTAATAGTAATATCTTTATTTTAGTATTACAAATTTATGTACTTAAAATAACCAATTAAACAGAATGTTTTCCGTAAGCCGATGTATAACATGCAAAACTATCTTAATCACAAGAGATCAAATTATTATTATTATTATTATTATTATTATTATTATTATTATTATTTATTTTTTTTTTTTATTTTTTTTTTATCATTATTATTATTATTATCATTATTACTTGATATAACTGATTAAGCTGGTTAATTTCCACAAAGCGTAAGCCGATGTATAACATGCAAAACTCTTATCTTAATCACAAGAGATCAAATTATTATTATAATTATTATTATTATTATAATTATTATTATTATTATTTTTATTGTTATTATTATTATTATTATTATTACTTGAAATAACTGTTTAAGCAGGTTAATTTCCACAAAGCGGGGTAAAACTATTATTATTATTATTATTATTTTTATTATTATTATTATTATTATTATTATTACTTGAAGTAACTGTTTAAGCAGGTTAATTTCCACAAAGCGGGGTAAAACATGGCAAGTATTATACACTGCTGAAAATATCTGATTATTATATATGTATATCATCAGAACGTACGTTTCGTCTTGATTAGAAAATCAAATCAGACGATCAACTAGATCAACGGGTATTTTAAGAAATTTCAAAACACCAATATTCATGTAATAACTAGTTTTCTACATAGCAAATTTTGCGAAAACTCCCAAAATTGAAAGGATATCACGTCTGTCATAAGATATTTAAAGCAATGTCTTCTATTTATCTATGATCATGAGCAGGTCAATATTATATAGCGTATATTAGACATGGACAGCGGTTCGCTGGGTATATTATACTGTGACGTCATAATTATCGGTCGTCCCACTGTCTGTATCACTCTGTTCAGCTCTTAAGGATGTACTTAGGTGAAATTAAAAAATTCTAGAATTTAAAATTGATACTATAAGTCAGAAGAGCATTAGTTAAGGAACAAATTAATCTAAAGGTTATGGAGCTCCTTTCCGAGATATTTAATTCTTAAAAAATGGCGGGAAAAGGCTGACTCTGACTTTTACCTTATATTTGCATTGGTATTATTTGGATCTCATTCTCTCTGCTTGTGATCTAGAATAAAGCAATTGCATTAAATGAAGCGTTTTAGATTTCCTATTCCCCTATGAATAATGCATCGATTCATACACATGCATTTGCAATGATATCATGTTTCGTAATTACGACGAAAATGAAACCCTGTTGTTTTACTTGATGACTTTAACAGTTCAGTTTAGTTTAAACATATTTTATTTGCTCAAAGCAAAAAAGGATCATACACATGTAAAACCTACTTAAAAAGTCTTCTCCACAATATAATATGTATAACAATACAAATTGAATGTGAGCATGCATTATCTAATATAAACAACATAAATATTACTAAACTATACTGAAAGAAGAAAAGGCGGTGAAGAAAGAATGACAGAGATTATGATAATGATGATGATGTGCGTTTTACCTATGTTGATATTATACTACGGAGAATCGTTTTGATCTCTTTATAAAATTGAATACTTGTTTAACAATTTGCACATTTTGATCATAGGAAAGAGTTTCTTTTCCAAAAAAACAATAGTTTTAAGTCCAAATTGCAGCCTCCGGGAAGCCAGCTAAGACTATTAAACAGAATAGCCCTTTCATTTAAATAGAAAGGACAATCAAAGAAAATATGGCGCATGTCCTCAATATCCAAGAATATATATTAAGATTATATTCAATTTTCTAGGACCATATAAATATTGAGATTGATTCTCATTTCGAATGCCGTGGTTTTTTAATTCTACTTTAAATTTTGATAACGAGTCTACATTTCGAACTGACAATTTCAGATTATTCCAAAGTTTAATTGTTGAATTGTTTAACAGTTCAGTATAATATAAAAAATAATGCATGCCATTTGACATCTCCTAAAACCTATATGGGACTCGATTTTTTAAGAAGGAAAAAGAGAACTCTAAGGATCATCCAGAAGCTTTCTTGTCGGATAAACCGTATATCCTTCAAACTGTCAAAGCAAATGAAGAAAACCCGAACTTGGGTGCAAAGGAAACCTTAGATGAGCTAAACATCGCATCAGTTTGTCGCCATATAAAAAGTAGAAAAAATAAGCGTATACACTTTTTATCTTTCAGTCAGTAAAATGGCTTACCATCTAGATTTTTTTTTTCGATTAATAAAAAAAAAATAGTTTGATAATGAAAACAGTCAGAGTCTATAAACGACATATTCTCTCTCTCTCTCTCTCTCTCTCTCTCTCTCTCTCTCTCTCTCTCTCTCTCTCTCTCTCTCTCTCTCTCAATACAGATACATCAGTCATAAACGCTTTTGTTGTGGCTCGTCAAATAAGTAACGAAGTCTTGAAGGCCAAACGATAAATATGAGATCTCTTAGATCGGTAATTTGTGTCTTTTGTTAGTTGATTTGTTGTGCTGTGTGCCAATCTGATGAGCAAGCCCTTTTCAACTGGTTTTAATAGTTTGTTCTTGTGTTGTGCTGTTACACCACAGTCTCATATTGTGGGGAGGGTTCAGCACTCGCAATCTTGTGTTGTTACACCACAGTCTCATATTGTGGGGAGGGTTCAGCGCTCGCAATCTTGTGTTGTTACACCACAGTCTCATATTGTGGGAAGGGTTCAGCGCTCGCAATCTTGTGTTGTTACACCACAGTCTCATATTGTGGGGAGGGTTCAGCGCTCGCAAACATGTTTAACATTCTATATGTGCCGGTCAACATTATTTTACTGAACTGAAGTCTACCTTATAAAAAGGACATGGATTTGAATAAACAAAACGCCACAGATTTGAGTGTCATGACATTACGGGACACAGATCTGAGGAGAGGACACAGATTTGAGTCTGGACATAGATTTAATTGACTCTTATATATTTAAATAATCCTTTATTGAACACCGTATATTGGAATCTAGATATATTTTTGGATAAAAAACACTTCAAGTGCGGGAGGTCATGTGATTGATCTCAAGGCAGCTACAATCAAAGACTCGCAAACTTATATTTGTTGCTTTTCCGCTTACCACGCGGCATGTAGGTATAACAGGGACAACTGGTCTGATTGGAGTCCGAATGTGTATCATTGTAGGGTGACAAGTCTTCCTGTGAACTGTTAGCTTGATAACTATTTAATTCATAACTATGTTTAAAATTATACGAATATATATATAATCAAAGTGTTGCTTAGTTTTCGTTGAACACAATTTTATTGCTTCCGGCCTTAAAATTAAATTGAATTTAGTATCAGATGAATTTGATTCCGTACTGTCTGAGGTCATCTTAAATACACAATAATACACTCAATAATTACACAATTTTAAATACCATAATTTATCTATATAAACCATCAATTTCATTCTGATTGCTGTCAGTAATGAATATCATTTATACATATAAACTCAAATGTTTGACTATATATAAAAAGTTATGTAATTTATAATTACAAATATATCATCTTATAAATGATCACTAACGAAGACGAAGCAATCTAAACCAAACCTCATCGGAATAGGATCAGATTTTGAAATATTGCTGGTCAATCTTAAGGTAAATGTCATTCACTTGTATATTAAGTATTAAATTATTTTGATGGTTTTGAATTGTAAATGTATTTTTTTTAATTTTATTTTTGCTGATTGATATGAAAGAAAATTAAAGTACCTTCCCAAATAATCATAGAAGCTCATCTTAACGGACACTAATATGATAAATCTATTTGTAGTTATAGGCAAAATTGATGTTTTTGGTTATTTGTATCGTTTGGGTAATGTCTTATATAGATATACGCCACATCTTGTAGTCATAAAGGTTTTTCGCATAGGAACCCGTCTAAACGGACACTAATATGATTTTATTTCTCTGACAGACAAAATTGGCCTCTTTGGTTATTTGTTTCGTTTGGGTTACTGTCTCATTGGGGGTATACAACACATCTCTTTTTATTCTCAAAGATTTTTCGTGTAGGAGTCCGTCTAAATGGACACTTATATGAGATTCAATTGCCTCAAAACAGACAAAACTGACCTCTTTGGTTATTTGTTTCGCTGGGTTACTGTCTTATTGCAGTATACACCACACCTCCTTTTATTCATATATCGAATACAAATGTATAATTAAACCATATCTAGTATAGAAATAAAGAGAAGTGTTTGATTGCCAATGAGCTAATTGTGCACTTAAGACCAAATGACATAAATGTTAATAACTGCAGGTCACAGTGCGGACTTCAACAATAAGCAAAATCTATACCGTAAAGATAGCCATAAAAAAAAAACACACACAGGCCTGATTCATGATAAAATAGTAACCAAAAACAAATACGACGGAGAGTAATCAACGGCAACCACTGGATTACAGAATCCTTGATTGGGACAGGCACATATAGGATGAGACGGTGTTAAACATGATTGTTAGAGCTCAACCCTCCCCCTAACCTGGAACAGTGTTGTACATGTAAAAATATAACAATAAAACAAAATGTAAAAACTAGATGAAAAAGGGATAGATTCGTCAGATAATCACCAACCACAAAAAGAACTGACAAGGGGCACACAGTACCGACCTGCGAGTACTCGCAGTTGCTGATATATAATATTCCTTTGTTATCTTCCGCCTTTCTTTTCTAATTCTAAGCCTTATCTCTGCCAATAAATTGACTACATGTATGCTTTCAAAGACCGAAATGACGATTTTTAAGTAAAAATCTAAATTGGTGGTTTTGATTCCAGATACTTGGTTACAATAAATTTAAGATATTAATTTAAATGCTTTTTAATGATATGTCTGTCTCCTCGTTTAATATTTTTATCTAAACCACTAGGAGAATGCAGTTGTCACTACGATTTACTTCTCTTTGGTTGTTTGCTGCTTTGCTGGCGGTTGAGGTTCTAACGGGAGACTCGGATGAAGCAACATCTATTGTAATCAAGCTAAAAGAAGGAGGGACACCAGAGGACGTTAACACAATTTTGCAGCGACACCCTCAGTATGTCATGGAAAAACAGGTATTTAAAAATAGAACACTCAATCTACTTTTTATTTTACTAGACATAGATTTTGTTGGAATTCGCCTTCTCAGAATCTAAAGGACTATGGGTATTACGTCATTGGTTCAATTTCCATTGTTTACAACGTTTTAAACCAATCACAACACTTTTGAAAACATTGCCCAGAATGCAATAGATTATGAAACGACGAATTGATTTAATGGATCAATATGATATAAGCTGGGGAGCCCGGGCCCCCCTTTCGTGGGAAAAATTTGGTTGATTATATAGGGAATCACTGAAGCATGACTGGAGCGGCCCCCCTTAGGTCAGTCAGCGCGATAACAAATAAACAATACAAAGTCGGTCCAGTAATAGGTCATGTTAGGGATCAATGTCTGTAAATGTAGAATCCATTGGAAAATAAGGATATATTGGATAGAAACAAACTCCTAAAAGAGTTATTGCAACGGTTCCTAACTTGCAGAGAGCGTGGCACAATCTCTGCACGAGGCATCGTATTTAAACTCCCCATTCTGATTGTACTTGCCTGCATATGTCTACATCCCTCACCACAAAACGGAAGCCCTAATTTGGCAAGGCTTTTACTGCCAGTTGGAAGAAGACCAAAAGTGACAAAATTGCTATTCTCCAGTCACCCTTGGGGACAATGGTAATCTGAACCACAGACCAAAATCTGCTGTACACGATAGCAAAAATTAATTGTCTGAATGGCAATAGGGAACACAGATCCTACTGTATCTGTTATAATGGTAGTCGGTAGTAGGTTGTGTATTAGATAGCATAACTCTCTTCTGGCATTCTGTTATATGAAGTTGATTAATATTCATACCTGTTTAATTAGTTTTATAACAATTAATTTATTTCAGTTTGAACTAGCTGGACAAGTGTATTATCAATTAAAAATTGATAACTCAAAGATTTTACGTCCGCTCCCTGTGCTAAGATTGGGTCTAACAGAAGGTAGCACTAATCCTGCTGAAATTGGAGAAGAAGAACAGGTAAATTAAAGTTCTGTCGTACTGTTCACGTAACCATAATAAGGATACTAGTGAAATAATATCAAATGTTTACTCGAAAGTTCTATATAATTTTTTACCTGGTATAATGGTTAACTGTGCTGTTAGAATTCGGTTATCTGTGCTATAAAGTTTTCGATTAATTGTGATATAAAATTTGATGAGCTATGCAGTTAAATCTTAGGTTAGCTGTGCGTTGAAATTTTTGGTTAGCTGTGGGGAACTGAAAAAAACGTAATCTAATAACATGAAAATTGCTAGCAATTACTCGACATAAAAACAAATCTGTAGACATATATTTTATCCGTAAAATGATTTCAGGTTGAATTCTCAGAGGTACAAACGAAGAAGACATTTCACCTCTACAAGGCTAAACTCCTCACAGATCCTGAATTGAGTGAACTTTGGCATCTGGTATGATTACTAACACTAACCATTCTTCTACCAAAAAATATGATTAACTTTCTATCTATTTTGTCAACACAAAACATTTCTCACTATTACCGGATTCAAGTTTGACCCTTATTTCAAAGGTCAAAAGTTTAAAATTGTCATGTTATTTCCATCCCTATACAATAACGTGTTTATGAAATCGGATAAAGAGAGTCGATAATACAAAAATGTTACCTCACCTTCATCTATATACATATCTGACTCATTTGTCAAATGGGGTTACTAGTTTGTACAGACTGATCTTATGTTGTGGTGTTACACAACTGTCACAGATTAGGAAAATGGTTGAACGCCCACAAACATGTTCAACCCCGTCACATTCTGAATGTGCTTGTCTCAAGTCAGAAACATGTAATCCAGTTATTGTCGTTGGTTGCTGTCTCCTTTAACTATTCATCGTATATTTTTTAGCATACATCAGGCCGTTGTTTGTTTTTTCATCTGAATTGTTTTACATTTTGTGATCCGGGGGCAATTTGTAGCTTGCTTTATAGTCATGTGATTTGCTCATTGGTAAAGGTCGTAAGATGACCTGTAGTGATGTCCATCCTTGTCCTTTCTTCTTTGGTGGTTATTTGTCTCATTTTGAAATCAGACCATATTTCCTTATTCTTATAACTCGAGAGGAATCTTCATCACTTTGTTAGTTGTTAATAGTAAGAAAATCTTATCTCTGAAACCAATGTGCAAGTTTAAGTCAACGTAGCCACAGTCATCTTAAGTTTGTCGTCTAGTTATGAAATAATTATGATAAACCAATCAACACGGCTTTCATTTTAAGATAGATACATACAGATAATGTTTGAGTTTCAATACATTGATCATGTCTAAATATGACCGTTAGACTTTTAAGAAATCGTACAAACCACCATTTTCACCCCTCTTTGTTAACTTGATGCTTGTTAAATATGTTTGTATGTTTTAGTAGTAATAATGATAGAATTCTACACGACATTTTCGTTTGGGAACATATATCTTTTTTCTTTCTGAAGAAAATTATAACAAAAAAAACCGAACTCGGAAGTAAATTAAAAAGAAAGGAAGTCCATAAAACTGACAAAAATTAAACGTTATCAACTAACGAAACGAGCGGAAAACAACTGTCATATTCCTGCTTTGTACAGGCATTTTGCGAAGAAATGGTGGGTTAAACCTGGTTTCATAGCTAGATTAACCTTGCATTGTATGGCAGTTGTTCATAGTTCTGTTATATTGACAAAATTAAAAATTCCATAGAGATACTGGAGTGTTGGGGCTCAATTGGTTGCAAATCACATGAAAGTTTCTTGCTATACATATTAATTGGATGATTCTCTATTATCAACCAGGTTGGTATGGAGAAAACTCTGTCAATATTTTTTTAACTGACTTTTCAATTTTGTCTGCATTTCTTGGACATTTTCAAATGTCAATGATCTTTTAATCTGGGATCCAGTATACGTTATAAATGAGTTTTATATTTACTTAATTTTATGGGCTTTTACTTAACTCTATATTATATTAAAATTGAAATATATCAAATTTATTAAGTACATATATTAGAAATTATAGTTATGATTTATTTCATGATCAAGGGTAGTACCAAAACCATAAACCGTCTTTTAATTACGTTTTAGAAAAAAGTTGTCGTTTTAATCGTCTCAACGCAGCATGTCCTTATAAAATCGTTGCTATTTTCTACAGAATAATGACTTGAAATACTCTATGAATATTGCCGAGGTTTGGGCTGATGGTTATACGGGAGCTGGTGTTACTGTTGCTATAGTGGACACATTTATACAGACAAATCATACAGATCTCGCTAATATGGTAAAATATATTGTTATTCGTCTTTGAACTTTGAACGATGGTCATCATTATAGCCAAACACCCGGTATACGTTGCTTAAAAGTCCAGTGTAACAGTATAGGGTTGAACACCATCCTCTTTAAAGTAAAACAAATAATCAAATAGCAACTCCTTCTCCCTACTAGCAAAAAAAAAAAACAAACAAAAAAAATAAAAAAAAAAAAAAAAAAAAAAAACACCCCCTTCCAGAAAAAAAATAAATAGAAAAAAACACACTAAAATTATAAAAAAACAAATTATACGAATACTCGTTTTCCCATTGCTAAATTAAAATATTTGAAATTTATAATTGCAAAAATACAAACAAAAAAAATTCATATCAAACACTAGTCCAAGATGAAAAAAACAATACTAAGCGTTTTACGCTTAATCTTTTTACTTGTTTTCTGTGTTCTTCGTTTGTCACATGTTTTATTGTACAATTTTGATCTAATAAAAAATCAGCAAAATATATACAGACAGTTTAAAAAGGGTTATTCATTTAATCGAATAAAAAGTAAGTTGTCTACAAATTCATTACAACAATTAATAGCCTAATTATGATTGATTGTGCTTTGTTCAACGTCCAGTGGCAAATATATCATGCATATTCAAGTTATTATTACAATTAACAAAACAAAAATCAATACAAAAATGATATCACACATATACACAATGATAAAAGCAAAGACTAAAAATTAAAAAAATTAAAATAAATGAAAAAAAAATTCCAAACATGAAGTTTTCATAAAATGTTTTACAGGATGTAGATAATTCTTACGACTTTTATGATGACGACAGTGATCCAAATCCTGATGACCCAACAATAAGGTAGGTACCAGATAATATAAAGGTAGGTACCAACTAACATAAAGGTAGGTACCAGATAATATAAAGGTAGGTACCAGATAATATAAAGGTAGGTACCAGCTAGCATAAAGGTTGGTGGCCCTACTACACATCTAAAGGCCTTTGTGTCTTTACTCGGCTTCGATTAAGTTTGGTTGTACACCTCTGAAGAGCCAAACATTTCTAGAAATAAACTTTTTTTCTTAACCTGATTTTTTGGTTTATATGACTGTAAGAGAGTAATTGATGAAGAAAAAAATCATATGGTGGTGTACTTCTTTTTTTGCCACGGCGATTTGAAAATACCCATTTTTAATGTTTTTTCCATTTTTCATCAATTTTTACCCATTTTTGGGCTATTATCATGAAACAAATTAGTTTCACAATTAAACTTTTTTTCATACTTTTACTAAAGATGAAGTGGACCAATCTGGATAAATTTTAACTTAAAAAAACTATAGGTTGCAGTGGCAGATCCAGAAATTTTCATAAGGCGGGGGGGGGGGGGGGGGGGGGGGGGGAGGGGGGGCACTGACTGCGTTAGAGGGGGCCCGCTCCATGCTTCAGAGATTTCCTATATAATCAACCAAATTTTCCCACAAAGGGGGAGGGGGGGGGGCGGCTCCCTGCCACCCCCCCCCCCTAAATCCGCCTCTGGGTTGGTGTTTATATTAGAAAGTTTTATAAAATTTTGTTGTTTTTTCATGTCAAATTGACCATGCTGTCAATTTTGTAAATTTGGGATTTCCTCCTTTTTTTAGAACAAAAAGCATATTATTTCAACTTCTTTGTTATAAATGATTGAAAAAATACATATGTAAGAATTTTTAAAAGAAAAAAATGATATGGCATGGCATGTAAACATTTTTGGTAAAATCATTTCTTTGTACCCTCACCTATTTTCTCAACATTTTGGCTGATGACATTGACTGGATTGGTTATACAATTTGAAAATTTTATTACTCAAAAACTGCTTATTGTAAGTACACACTTTTTTCACAGAATCTAGTCTGAGCATAATATTTTTTAAATCCATTAACATTTTCGACTTGTATCACATGTTTTGGAAATAAATCCCGAACAAGATTTCAACGGGACTGAAACATCAGAAGAATACATCCTTCAAAGAAATTAAAAAAAAAAACGGGCGCATTTCTTGATTTATTGTATCAGTCATAGGCTTTTCTATGAACATTTATTTAATTTTAAAACACGAAATGAATTCTAAAAATTCAAAAAACAGAGGTCATTAGCATTGGTTTATCTAAATGCAATTTTTGTTTCTAATGTCTTTCCGTATTTTCTAGGCATCTGCAAAACCAGTCTTGATAATAACAAACTTCGCCTAGCGGCTCGGGAAGTTTGACCACTTCTTCAGTGGTATTTTTCGTACATATCTCTCCTGATAATGATGTATCTGTTCAATACAAATATAAAAGAGATGTAGTTTGATCTGAACTTCACTCTGTTTCAAGTGTATAACATGAAACGGGAAGAGTATGAGATATCTATGACAACATTCTGTTTTATACAATTTTAAAACACGTTCCATATGTCGTAAAGTTTTTATTTAAATTTCAGTCACGGAACAATGGTTGCCGGAATAGTAGGAGCAACGTATGGAAATGATTTTTGTGCTGTTGGTGTGGCATATAATGCTACACTTGTAGGTAAGATAGATAGAACAGCGTTTTCACTGTGCTGTTGGTGTGGCATATAATGCTACACTTGTAGGCAAGATAAATAGAACAGCGTTATCACTGTCCTATCTACATAAGAAATAATTACGGAACTAAGGTTCTAATTTCCTCAGACAAATTTGACCTTAAGATAAAATTGGCTTTGATTTTTATGTCACTTTTGGACATTTAGCTCCTAACATTTATACGTATTTATACACCAATGGTAAAACATTTATACGTATTTATACATCCGTGGCTTTCAAATGTTTAGGTTTTAGATGAAGGTCACCTTGAAACACGCTTCGCATGTGCGAAATTCATAGTGTTATTTCTATTTTGGAGCTCCTTAACGATAATATTATTAAATTGTCATACACTTATCAATACTAACCGTAATATGTGTTTGTTTTATTTGCGTTTTTTTCACGCCATTTTTGCAGGTATTTGTCAGTTGTTTCATGAAAAGATATAAAACATACTGTTTTCCTCGCATTTCATTTATTGTCCAGAATTCGTTTCTGTTCATATATAGTACCTTTTAAAACAACTAATTAAACATTCTTGTGACCGCTTTGTCATTTTCTGCATGTATTTTTATTGTCCAAAACATTTATTTCAATTTTAACACTTAATTTTGTCTGTTTCGGGAAACTCAATATATAAAAATAAGAAGATGTGGTATAATTGCCAATGACACAACTCTCCACAAGAGACCAAATGACATAAATAGATAGCATTGATATAATTAAACATAACTCTGTTTGATTTAACTATCGGTCGTCTGATTGGGGAAACTCGGATGGCATTGTAATAAATCAACAAAACACTGGTTTTTCAACTATAAGTCTGCTCTAGGACATTCAGAATAGAATTGTTTTATCTAAAAATAATAATGTTCCTTCCTGCTGTTTCTCTACTTGGGGATATTTAAGATGGAATTGCCACATCCAACATAACTGTGTTTGATTGAGCTATCGGTCTGCTTGGCGGAAACTCGGGTAGCATTGTTATAATTCAACATAAAACTGGTTGTTGCAACTATAGGTCTGCTTTTGGACATTCAGGATAGCATTGGTTTATCTAAAAAAAAATCCTTCCAGCTGTTTATCTGCTTGGGGAAATTTAAGGTGGAATTGCTATAATCCAACAATAACTGTGTTTGATTCAGCTATCGGTCTGCTTGGAAGAAAATGGGATAGCATTGTCATAATTCAACATATAACTGGTTGATTCATTTATAGATCTGCTTTGGAAATTCAGGATAACATTGGTTTATCTTAAAAGAATAATGTTTCTTTCAGCTGTTTGTCTGCTTGGGGAAATTTAAGATATAATTGCCATAATTAAACATAACTCTGTTTGATTCGGCTATTAGTCTGCTGCTTAGTGACACTTAAGATAACATTGACTTAATTAAACATACCACTAAATATATATTTTCAGCTATTGGTCTGCTTGGGGGAACTCAGGATAGTAGCGACTTGAGTGATATGCAAGTTGGAAGAGCTTTGGGACATTACTCATCTGATGTGTCTATTTATGTTAATAGCTGGGGACCAGACACATCTACTGACTTCTATACTGTTGGTTCATTGGCTAAATCTGCTTTAGTATCTTTGGCAACAAACGTAAGTTTTTGGATGTTTTATTAAACATAGAAATCTTCCATTAAGTTACTGGTTGTACTATAACACATGTTAATGTATATTTGATTTTAATTTTGACATTGTACGGTCTGCGTTTTATTTTTTATGATATGAGTAATAACGCATTTGGGCCTTCATGAGAGCACTACGAAAATACGGTATTTTTTTTAATTCGTTGCCTTTCCGCCAAAAGCTTTTTTTAGTGAACGCCATTCGTGTGTTTATATAGAAATATGTATAATGATTTAACATTTTGTTCTAAACCAACAAATATTATTTTTTATACCAATGTCCCAGTTTAGTTGGAGGTTTGAGCGCTTGAAAACATTTTTAACCCGCCATGTTATTTTGTTTTGCGTTTTGTAATGTCGGGACCTTTTATAGCTGACTACAGGGGTAGTGTTTTTCTTTTTATTGAAGGCCGTACGATGACCTATATTATCTTAAATCCACCGCATTTGATCTCTGGTGTGTATTTGTTTCATTGGCAATCAAACCGCATATCCTTGATATTTTTATTTTATTTTATAGGGTAGACAAGGCAATGGAAGCATTTTTGTATTCGCTGCTGGAAATGGAGGAAGTGATTCTAACGCAAATGCCTATCTACAAAGTAGTATATATGCTATCTCTGTGGCCAGCGTTGAATTCGACACAGTGTCACCGTCTGCTGGATTTGGCGCTAACATAATGACGTCTGCATACGGTGGTGGGGTTTACTATAAATCATTGGTAAGTACTGTATACGTCTTCTGATTGGTTATGTTTTTAGGTTGCTGTCTCAATGACATATACCTCACATTTTTTTTTATTCATATATATACCATGTTGATTTAAATGCCAAATCTCAAGAATTGAAACACTTACTAAGTCATGAAATGAGAAAAAAAAATAGAGCAAAAAGGTAAAAAATATAGAATAGAGAATAATGTGGTGCTAAAATACAAACAGTAGAGAAAAATGACCTTAAAAAGCAAATAATACAGAAATGGATATTCCGCCATCCAAACCCTCATCTACGGGATAAAAGACTTGACATATGCGAAGATGGTAAGGGTACTCTTGGTGTACTTTTGTTCTAGTTAATAGCCAAAGTTTATTGGTCATTTAAGGAAATGTTTAATATAGCATGATTTCAAGATATAATATGATGTGTAAATTAGAGATTGTGAACAATTGTGAGCTAGCTGAAATGAAAACGTTTAAAAACAGATTTCATTACGCAGGACCAGTCATAATATACAACTCTGTGTACAAGTGTATCAAGGGTAATTCGAATTAGTTTTCATCTGTTACGTTGGGGCCTTATTTCGTGCTTTAAGCCTTGAGTTCGTCGATTCAATTGATTTTCTACACTTTTGGAGGTCGATTCATTTGGTTTTCCACACTGTTGGAGGTCGTTTCAATTGATTTCTTACACTTTCTGAGGTTGATTTATTTGGTGTCCCACACTTAGGAGCACGATTCATTTAGTTTCCCGCACTTTTCGAGGTCGATTCATTTGGTGTCCCACACTTTTGGAGGTCGTTTCATTTGGATTCTTACACTTTTTGAGGTTGATTCATTTGGTGTCCCAAACTGTTAGAGGTCGTTTCATTTGGTTTCTTACACTTTTTGAGGTTGATTCATTTGGTGTCCCACACTTAGGAGGACGATTCATTTGGTTTCCTACACTTTTGGAGGTCGATTCATTTGGTGTCCCACACTTTTGAAGGAAGATTCATTTGGTTTCTTACACTTTTGGAGGTCGATTCATTTGATGTCCCACACTTTTAGAGGACGATTCATTTGGTTTCTTACACTTTTGGAGGTCGATTCATTTGGTTTCCCACACTTTTGGAGGTCGATTCATTGGTTTCTCACACTTTTGGATGTATCAGATGAAGTTTCTTTGAGGACCTTTATTAGATTAAGATATTATCATGATTCATATTATTTGACGCCATATAAATAAGTTTCATGTAAACCAGGGCATATTGCTGAAACAATTTATTTTTGCACTCACAAATGGGACAACCGGGTATTTTTGATATGTTTCTAAAAGAAATGGATTTTTTTTTTCTTTTAGAAGTCAACAACTCCCTATGATGAATGTTCCGGAAATGCTGGGGTTGGATCGTCATTTGCGGCCCCTGTAGCAGCAGGCGTTATAGCTTTAATGTTAGAGGCAAAGTAAGTTTAATTGTGAGAAACGCTCGAAAAATATCGTAGTAAGTTCGGCATTGAAAAATTTTTGTTTTTGTTTTGTGTGTACATAATTTGCATACTTTCCTTGAAGGGGGTGACTATGTGATATTCAGAGAAATGGGAGGGGGGGGGGGAGATCTAGGAAATAACTATTCCGGCTTAAAAGTAACTGGAAAAAGATATGATGTATATGAACGAATATTTAGAATTTCTGATCAATAAAATGCTGACAATGCAGGAAACGGTTGTGTACAAAAGTGAATATTAAGCCGCACAAAATAAACAAGCCGTACAACAGATGAAACCGAATATTCCAAAATATCATCCAGCCCCACACCCTAGAAAATCAAGTGGTCGTCCCCTTAGTAAAAATAAATCACGAAAACCATCGAGTTTCACACGATAACTATTTGCATGTTGTATCGAACTAAAATGGTCCTCGCAAATTTTCGTTTCTTCATTGAGAACAAACTTCAATGCATGTGAGTACATGGAAATTTATACATTGGGATTAAAAAAATGGGGAGAGATAAGTTACTAATGGGATTCTAGATAACCATGAGTCTAATAATGGCAGACAACACAATGACCAACAGAAAAAATACAAACAGACAAACAACTATAAACAAAACACGACACAGAAAACTCAAGATTGAGCAACAGTAACTCCACCTTATACTAGGTAAAGTCAAGTAAGAGTGAACGGAAGAGTGTGTGTGGGGAAGGGGGGGAGGGGGGTGTAAACTTCTTCTGAAAGTGACGAGAGCAAAAAATATTTTTCTAAAGAATATATAATTGTTGGTAGCATTCAGGTATTTATGTGCTTCCCTAATAACGGTATTTTAAGATATCAACATATAGCATAAAAATAAGAATATGTGGTATGATTGCAAATGAGACAACACTCCACCAGAGATCAAATGACGTAGAAGTTAACAACTACAGATCACCGTATGGCTTCCGACAATGAACATAAACCATACAGAATAGAAAGTTATAAAAGGCAATGAAATGACAAATATAAGACAATTCAAAGGAGAAAAATAACGGCCTGATTTGTGTAAAAACTAATTGATAAAATCAAACATGATATATCGATGAAGGGCGTAAAAAGGGGGGGGGGGGTATCTGCACGGAAGAACGCGAAATAAAATTGCCATTTCGCGATGAACGAACAATTAAAAATTTCTTGCACGTTGATCTTTTTACCGATTTCACGAAACACGATGAATAACGAACCTTTTTCACGGCTGCACGTGAAATAAAAATGGCAAAACACGTTGCACGAAAATAACCCTTTACCACCCTCATTGATATGTTTAACAGTAAATATGTACTGTATCATATTATTCTTTGATGATGCCGTTCTATTCATGCACATTATTAGATATTGAAATAAAGATAATCAAAATGAAATGAAATGATATTAATATAATGAACTAAAAGTACAAATGAAGCATATATGATTAGTATGGTAGCATTACTTTTATTGAGAAAAACAAAACAAATTATCTTTACCCTACTCATTTTCAGCAACGGATTAACATGGCGTGACGTTCAACATATCATCGTCCGAGGATCCCGGGCACGTGGTTTTAAAGACGAGGATACTAAATGGCGACGCAATAAAAGTGGATATTTGTGTTAGTATACAATTATTTAATAGATATAAGAAGATGTGGTATGAGTGCCAATGAGACAACTCTCCACCCAAGTTAAAATTTATAAAAGTAAACCATTATAGGTCAAAGTACGGTCTTCAACACGGAGCCTTGGCTCACACCGAACAGCAAGCTATAAAGGGCCCCAAAAATTACTAGTGTAAAACCATTCAAACGGGAAAACCAACGGTCTAATCTATATAAAAACGAGAAACGAGAAACACTTATGAACCACATCAACAAACGACAACTACTGAACATCAGATTCCTGATTTAGGACAGGTGCAAACAATTGCAGCGTGTTTAAACTTTTTAATGGTACCAATCCTTCACCATTTTTCTGAAACAATAGTGTAACATTACAACATAGAAAGACACACTATAAAATATCAACTGAAATAACTTAACTCAATCAAAGGACATATTACCACCAGTGGACATACACTAAACAAATAAATTTGACCTATGATACAATGTTAATACAAAATAAATAAACTAAGGGAAGAATTATAATTTAAGTATACATTGATTCTCATTATGTAAACATGTGCGAGACGAGATTTTTTTTCCATTACATTCACTTTACCCAATTAATGATCTTAATTTTAAGCCTCTTCAAATGACGGAATTGTCAAATCAGAAATATGACAGTTGTTTTCCATTCGTCTGATGTGTTTGAGCTTTTGATTTTGCCATACGATAAGGGACTTTCCATTTTGAATTTTCCTTGGAGTTCGGTTTTTTTGTTATTTTACATTTTAAACGCAATAAGAAATCTGTTGGGTCTAGTTTTGATACACGAAATTGATGGGACGGTCTTGGAAAAAGTGAAGCAATTATATGAATAAACTCACCAAATTATAATTCTGTACGCCAAACGGGCGTTTCGTCTGTATACAGAAGACTTATCAGTGACTCTCGAATCAAAATTGTTTAAAAGACCAAATATGTAGTGAACTTTTAGTCAAGTTGATCACGAGTAATTACTTATAAAAAGCAATGAATTGTCCGTTCGTCAATTTTTGTCGCATTGTTCTCCAAATATAGTGTATGTAGGTTGTAATGATCTTCGAAATTGTAACAGAGCTGCTCCTATGATGATTTAAAGTTTTTTACTATGATATGAAATCGTTTCGATATTTTACCCAGAACTGTAAGATAAAGTGCTGCATGTTCAAAATGTGCTAGTTACCAATAAACTTGATTAAAATGTATGTTTAAGTAAAAAGTGGGATTATGGGATATTTATCAAATACATAGTCAAAAGACATGTAGCTTATCTTGTATTCTTTTGAGAACAAATGCATTCAATATTTCGCCGACATTGATTATTGCACGTTCATTGTTTTACCCTTTAATCGATTATTTCATTGATCAATATTTTGAAGTTAATCGTAAAATGGGATTCGGTTTACTGGATGCCAAAGAAGTGGTTGGTTTGGCTAAAAAATGGAAAACAGTTCCGGAACAAGAATCGTGCACAGTCTTAGGGCCGGTTGCTGTTAACATGTGAGTACAAGTTACAGAGATGTATTCTAATTATTTCTATATCTTACAGTGTAAAATAAGTATTAACAAAATACTGAACGCTAAGGTAGATTTAAAAAAGGTCCATAAAACCTGACAAAATCAAACGCTCGACTATATCAACCGACTGGAAAACAACTGTCATAACTGATATGTATTTTCCGACCATAATGGTGGATTCAACTTGGTTCTATATAGATATAAGAAGATGTGGTATGAGTGCCAATGAGACAACTCTCCATCCAAGTCAAAATTTATAAAAGTAAACCATTACAGGTCACAGTACGGTCTTCAACACGGAGCCTTGGCTCACACCGAATAGTAAGCTATAAAGGGCCCCAAAAATTACTAGTGTAAAACCATTCAAACGGGAAAACCAACGGTCTAATCTATATAAAAAACGAGAAACACTTATGAACCACATCAACAAACGACAACTACTGAACATCAGATTCCTGACTTAGGACAGGTGCAAACAAATACAGCGGGTTTAAACGTTTTAATGGTACCAAACCTTCACCCTTTCTCTGAAACAATAGTGTAACATCACAACATAGAAAGACACACTATAAAATATCAACTGAAATAGCTTAACTCAATCTATAGCTAGGTAAACCTCCCACTTGTCTGAAAGTTGTTTCAAGTTACGTTGCATTGATAAAACAAACATAATTGGTACTATACAGCTGATGAAGTCGTTGTTAGTATGACCCCAATGACTTAATCAGACAAATAAAAAAAATGTAGAATAACTGTTACTTAGGTCAACATGATCCTCATCGTTAACTATGTTCTATCCATTAACACATCGGATTTTTTTATTTCATTGTTTTTCATTTTCAACTACACGTCAAGCCATTTTAGGGGCCTCGGTGCCCGAGTGGTCTAAACGGTTCAACAACTGTATCACTAGTCTGTCAACTTCGAACCCCGCGAAAGGTAGGTGCGTTCGACTCCAATCTGCCGAAGGTCGGCGGTTCCTCCACAAATAAAAACTGGCCGCCACGAAATAGCCAATAGTGTCCAAAGTGGCGTTGAACACCAATCAATTTATCATTCAATCAATCAGTCAAGCCATAATCTTGATTTTTGCAGGAATGTCACAAATGAAGCATTTGGGAAATCTCTCATCAGGGTAGGTCAAAAAGATTGTGGTATGAAGTTTCTAGAGCATGTTCTGGTCACCGTGAATGTACGCTATTCAGCATTCAGAGGTACAGTAGAGCTTGAGTTGATATCGCCAGGCGGAACCAGGATACAGGTCCAAAATCAAAGATATAATGATGCTGTTGCATCCCCGGAGGAGGGTTCATTCGGATACACCTACAAAGTTTTGCATCTTTGGGGTGAGTCTCCCCAAGGACAATGGAGACTTATGTATAAATCTGTAAACCCGTATGTTGAAGGTTAGTAGAACTTATAGACATGTCGAATGCACTGAATGACCCACAATATCGTTTTAATATAAATTGAAATAACGATGATAAAACTTAGTCACTTACACATATATTAAAGTACACATTAAAGGGGCACAAGCTACGAGATATATAAAAAAATTACGATTTTTTTGTTCAATCATTAATGAAAGTGAAATAGTTAAATAATTATTCGAATTTAGCAGCCAGTATGTGTCAATTTTGTCAAAATAAGCTAAGAAACATTGATGATGAATTATTCACTTGCAAGTGAATAATTCGACCTCATTGAATCCGTATTCATGTGAACTTCAATTTAACCCCTTAGCTAGAGATGGATAACGCATGCATTGTCCGTGTAAAGTTATTTATAGGAAAATAATGTTAACATTGAAAGTTAAACAAAAATAAATCATTTGATTGACTGATTCGATCCACAAAAAAACGATCTTTTACAGGTAAAAACGATGATAAATATATATTTTTAATCTGTAATATAAAATTAAACAGACCATGAAAAATCTAATTGCACGAGTTGCTTAATTTATTTATATCTATATTTATGTTTATATTGCTTATATGGTCATCGGAGGTGTTCGGGGGTCAACTCGATAGTTAATTAGATGGCGTCTAGACTAAAATACACACAAAACGAAGCTACATATTATCGTGCTCATGGCCTGTAAACTGTTTATTTAAGACTTTCAATAGTTTGAATAAATGTTTTACATTGTTATAAATCAAATATGAGAATTTGAGTCAAATCGGTGAACATGAATTTGACAGCTAGTGCCCCTTTAATTAAGATTACGATACTGATAAAAGTCAATTGTGATTTAAGCACATGAATATATTTAATTTATGGATTGTTTTATATTTCATTTTGTCAAAAAAAATGGATATTTCATATATATATTTATCATTAAAAAGATACAAAAAGCAATTATTATATTTTGTAGACATAATTATAGACTCTTTATGTTTTGGATAAGAAGAGGAGGGAAGATTTTTTAAATACATTTTTTTGCTTAAAATTTCTCAAACAATCGTTTCAGAAGGGAAATAAAGAAATGTTTTCTTCCGTTTAAAACTTAAAAGGGGGCGGGGTCGGGGAGATAGTATAATATTGATTTTCCTCCAAAAATATTTCTTATTCCAGTTTGAAATAAACAAAAAACTTGTGCTTGATTAAAGTAGAAAAAAATAGTTGTATGGAGAAAAAATCATGCCCTTATAAAAACGAATGGTCGATGTCTTTACTGATCCGTGTAAACACAATTCAATCTGATCTAAATATAGTATTTAATGTTCTTTTCTAATATTTGTTGGAAACGACATAATTTGATAAGGACACATCATATTTGTGGCATTATTAATGATGAACTATTTTGTGGCTGAAGAAATAGACATAATACGCTCCCTCAGACAAGATGGGCGAATTTGGCTATCCTATTAAAGTTCCTTTCGATCATAAAGCTGCTAACGTTTTGTACGTATTTTTAATTCACTGGTTTACAAATGGTTATGTGTGAGTGTTCCTGGTGAAGGTAAATCCCTAAAAAAGCATTTCGGACATACGAAATTTATAAATTATTGTTTTCATTTAACACTTAAATTAAATCATCAATTCTTTGTTTTTAGATTTACATATATCCTTATGATAGGATCCATTAACTCGCATTCTTTCTTTTTGAAAATTCGAAAATGAAATATTTGTTGTCACTTTATCAAAACCTTTTCATTTCACTACATTACTTCCAGTTATGTAATGAAAATGAAAGTATGCGGTAAATAACTTAAAATCACTTCTAAAACATAAATACGGGGCACAGAATGTTGAATTTTAGATATCCAGACGAGAAAGAATATATGAAAACGTAAAAATACTTCAAGTCGAACAATACCAAATAAAAAACAAAACGCCGATAGCGAGAAAACTAAGACGTAAACGTTTACAAGGACAATTATCATGTGAATAAAAACGTCATAGCTGTACAAATATAAGAACATACACATTAGTATGAGCAAATGGGGATGATTAGACTATTTAGACAGAACAAACGTACCAGAAAGAAGATGCAAGCTAAGGGGCAATAACACTTGTGTATTCGTACCAAAATATTTATCAAACGATTTATTGTTTGAGCTCAGATGACTACAAATAGGTTAAAGTTTATTACACCTGGAAGGAAGAGGGTACTTCACTTTAATCCTTAGTAGGCACACTTGTGTACGGCAGAACGCTTAAAGTAATTTTAAATGTGAATGTCTGTGAACGTTTATTTAACCCCATCATTATGTGACCATGCAGCAGACGGGGACGATGTATTCTCAAAACATTCAGGGCCTTTTGTCTGTAACGTGACGAGAGAGATCTTTATAATGACGCGGATGACGCATAACGTGAAATCGCCGCTGAAAGTGTCTGATATATGTTTAATTCGTTATTATCTGTATTTCTATGTTGACTAAAAATAATCGTATATTTTATAGTTGGACTAGACTCTTGGGCATTGGAGCTTTATGGAACCAGAAAAAGACCTGGACCAAAATAGTCATTACGTAATTACGTTAAGGCCATTTTGAATTAATTTTGTAAGTTATGTTGGTGTAAACATGTCTAATTAATGAATTCGTCATGTATAGGTGCAAGTATAACCAAGTACAAAGTATACAAGTAATTTTAAAAAAACTGAATAAGAAACAAGGCGTGAATCGATTGCTTATCATCATAATGTTTTGCACAGTAAAATGATCTAATAATACTTACTTACTTAGGCCCTTGGCTCCTCTGGGGAGCATAGGCCATTGACGAACTCCCTCCATCTAACTCGGTTTAGTGCCAGCTTTTCTAAAGTGTTCCAGTTGTATCCTTGCTGCTTTATTTCAATTTCTGTGTCCCTGCGCCAGGTGTTTCTTGGTAATCCTCTGTTTCTTTTTCCCTGAGGGTTCAACTTAAGTGCCTGCCTTGTAATGCTGCTTGTTGGTTTTCGCAGTGTGTGGCCTATCCATACCCATTTTTTTCTTGAATTGGATGTCAATAGGTTCTTGGTCAGCTCTTTTCTTTTAGGTCTTCATTTCTTACTTTGTCGAACCATCTGATGTTCATGATTCTCCTTAGGCAGTAGTTGATGAATCTTTGGAGTCTAGACGACATTGTTTAACTTGTTCTCCATGTTTCTGATCCATACAAAAGCACCGATTTTACGTTGGAGTTGAAAATTTTCATTTTTGTGCTTCTTGAGATGTTCTTGGCACTCCATACTTTACCTAGAATGTTAAAGATGACTCTGGCTTTGTTGATTCTTGCTTTTACATCAGCGTCTGTACCCCTTCTATGTTGACAATGCTTCCTAGATAAGTAAACTCCTCTAGTTCTTCTATATTGGTGTTGTTCATCTTTATTGGTTGTTTACTTTTGGTATTGATCTTCATTACTTTTGTCTTTTCTTCGTTTGGTTTGAGTCCAAGCTTTATAGATGTTGAAGAGAGAAGGGATGTTTTTTCTTGCATTTGTTGTTGTGTACTGAATATAAGGGCTATATCATCCGCAAAATCCAAGTCTTCTAGTTGTTGCCACATTGTCCATTGGATTCCATTTCTTTTCCCTTCAGTTGCTTCTTTCATGATGTAGTCTATTGCCAAGAGGAAAAGAAAAGGTGATAGCAGGCAGCCTAGTTTTATTCCAGTTTTGACATCAAAACTCTCGCTGAGATTGCCTTCATGTATAACTCTGTATTTCATGTTGTTATAAGAGTTCCTGATGATGTTTATGAATGATTGTGGTGTTCCATAACGAGCCATGATGTTCCAAAGGGTTTCTCTGTCCAAGCTGTCAAATGACTTTTCAAAGTCTACAAAGTTAATCAGTAGGGAGGTGTTCCACTTTAAGTACTATTCTATTATTATGCGTAGTGTGGCTATATGTCTATGCATGATCGGTCTTTCCTAAATTCTGCTTGCTGTTCTCGTAGTTTTTCATCTACAGCCTTAAGAAGTCGTGTAAGGAGGATTCTGTTTAGGACCTTGTTGCCACTGATAGTAATGCAATTCCTCTGTAATTTTTGCATTCTTTAAGGTTGCCTTTCTTCGGTAGTTTGATTAGGTGACCCTCATTCCATTCTTGAGGCATTTCTTCTTGCTGCCATATATCACTGAATAGCTTATGTAAGAGGTTAGCTGTTAGGTCAGGGCTGGCCTTAAGGGCTTCTGGTGGAATGTTGTCTGGACCTACTGCCTTGCCTGACTTCAACTTTTTTATTTCTACTTTTGTTGGTAGGTTAAGGTTTATGTGAAGCTCTTCATTTGCTTTGTTGATAACTGGTGTATCAGCTGGAGGTGGTCTATTTAGAAGTTTTTTAAGGTATTCGGCCCATCTAGCAATCTGTTCTTCTATAGTGGTAATGACCTTCCCATTTTTTGTCTTTAACTTGTTGACCTGTTTGTCTAAATTTGCCAGCAAGTTTTTTGGTGGTATCGTACAGATCTTTCATATTTCTCATGTTTGCAGCTTCTTCCGCTTGTTAGGCAATATTTTCAATATATGCTCTTTTATCTTTTCTTACATCTAATAATAACATACATCAAATTGTGCCTGATATTCATATGATGAAGACATAATCTTTCAATCAGTTTAATTGAAGTCTGGAGCTGGCATGTCAGTTAACTGCTAGTAGTCTGTTGTTATTTATGTATTATTGTCATTTTGTTTATTTTCTTTGGTTACATCTTCTGACATCAGACTCGGACTTCTCTTGAACTGAATTTTAATGTGCGTATTGTTATGCGTTTACTTTTCTACATTGGCTAGAGGTATAGGGGGAGGGTTGAGATCTCATAAACATGTTTAACCCCGCCGCATTTTTGCGCCTGTCCCAAGTCAGGAGCCTCTAGCCTTTGTTAGTCTTGTATTATTTTTAATTTTAGTTTCTTGTGTACAATTTGGAGTTTAGTATGGCGTTCATTATCACTGAACTAGTATATATATTTGTTTAGGGGCCAGCTGAGGGACGCCTCCGGGTGCGGGAATTTCTCGCTGCATTGAAGACCTGTTGGTGACCTTCTGCTGTTGTCTGTTCTATGGTCGGGTTGTTGTCTCTTTGACACATTCCCCATTTCCATTCTCAATTTTATCAAAAGCCAACTAAACTGAAAAAAAAACATAACAACGGAAAACACACAAACAATCAAAAACGCCCCCTGAAAGAAATCAACTTGTATGGTTAACAAAGGAATGAAAGAATGTTTCACATCTCAATTTTGTTAACAAAACAACTCTTTGCAAAGTTTTTTTCATCATATAGATGTATGTATAGATTCATATCATATTTGTTAACAAAACAACTCTTTGCAAAGTTTTTTTCATCATATAGATGTATGTATAGATTCATATCATATTTGTTAACAAAACAACTCTTTGCAAAGTTTTTTTCATCATATAGATGGATGTATAGATTCATATCATATTTGTTTTCATATTATTTTATAGGTACAAATACCGAGATATCTTCAAGAGAGAAAAAAAAAGTTCATTGCTGGAGAAGACTTTGCAAATAAAGTCCATTTTAACAAACAATTTTGTTGTCCCAAATTTTTATATTGGACTCAGTAAATAAAAAGAGTACACATGTTGCATCTTATATAAAGTGTTGAGTTGTTTACATTTTTATACGCCCGTCAATGACGTATTATGGTTTACAAATGTCCGGTGTCCGTCCGTCCGTCCGTCCGTCTGTCTGTCCGGCGTAAACATTTCGCACCGTAACTTGAGAATGACTTATCCAAATTTCATGAAACTTAACATAGTTGTTTCTTATGATGGTCAAACGATCTGTATACTTTTTGGTGAAAATAATATTAAAACTTTTTGAGTTACGGGACTTAGTAACTAAAACAGGTGTGTGTTTTTTTTCACATGTCGCGCCGTATCTCAAAAACAATTTATGACTATTGCTTAAAACTTTACACACTTCTTAGTTATATTAATCTTAAGATCTATATACTTTTTTGGTGATGATTCAAAATTTTAATTTAGAGATATTGAGTATTTTGTTAAAAAAGGGGGAAGGGTTTTTCACATGTCGCGCCGTATCTCAAAAACAGTTTATGATTATTGCTTAAAACTTTACACACATCTTAGTTATATTAACCTTAAGATCTGTATACTTTTTGGTGATGATTCAAAATTTTATTTTTGAGTTATTGAGTATTTTGTAAAAAAAAAAAGGGGGGGGGGTTCGCATGTCACACCGTATGTTAGAAACTATTTATGCTTATTGCATAAAAATTTACACACAAGACGACGGGCGTATCATGCGCTGATGGCGCAGCTGTTTATTTTACATAGGCGGCAAAACTGAGGGTAGTGGGGAAAAATAGGGATGCTTGCACAAGTGTCCAAAATGTAGAAAGGGCATACTATGACAATGTCTGTATTCAAAATGACAATACAGATATCATTCATGTATATTGAAATCTAACATACTACAGATCTAGGTAATTATCAAATATCAAAAATAATTAAATATAACCTTTGGTCATGTCGATGATGTTGAGCAGATCATATGCATACATAAAGGCAGCAACCCAACGACACAAAAGCAAGAAAACATGCTGAGATTCAGTTAGTTGTAATATTAAAGCTAAAATTGGAAACTGTGTAGCGTTATGGGAAATCGCTGTTTTGGAAATTTTGATTCGTCCAGACGTCATTTACATAGACATTTAGACTGAGCAACGTACATGTAGTTTACAATAAAACGAAGTTTATTACATAAAAGGTACCAACTGCACCAGATGTACATTTTGACCATTCATGTTTTTTCAGTGATGCTCGAGTCCAAAATATATGAGAATCCAAAACCTCAAACAAACTTTGAAGAGCTGATAAAACCAGAACGGATCTAAATTGTTTCCAAAATAAGAATTCGAGCTATGCATGAGGGAGATGGTCGCTTTATAATTGTTGTATGTTTAATGTTGTCGAACTTATTATAATGTGTTTTGGTTAAAATTCTTTAATCTCGTACAGACGATCTATAGAAAAGGGTTAAATCTACAGTAAGAAAGAATGACAAAAGTAGATTATGTTTATGTTGATCTCTCTCCAAATAAAATAAAATTCTAATGGTTATTTTAAAAGCTGAGTTTTACAAAGCAAAGTAAATACGTCCTATCATAAAGATATTATTTGAAATACTAAAATTGCAACTTCCTCAGGCAAAGTTGATCTTAGATGAAGTTGAAGTTGGCTATACTGGTTAGGCATTTTTGGTCATCTAGATGACAATGCCATGGCAAAAACTGAAAACGATCGAAAGACAAATCATAGAAAACTAAAGACTGAAGAGCACAAATCCAACCAAAAACTGGGGTGATTTCAGGTGCTGCGGAAGGGTAAGTAGATCCTGCTTCACAGGTTACACCCATCGTAACATTCTTCAAATTATCTTGGGGAAAAGAGTCGGAAGACACAAAAGGAATATTCAAATCTCAAGAGTCGAGATAGTGGAATAATTAGATTGTTCTATGACTTACCTCAGCTAGGAGGGAGTAACATTTATATACAGAAGCAGCGGTAGTTTTGTTTTCGGAGTTTATGCATGTATTGTGATGAGTATATAAAACAAGAGATAAAAGATACCAAAGAGCCACCCATTGCGTTGGTCATGGAAGGGAAAAGACACATTCATAGATATCATAAAAGAGGGAAAAGTGTTCGTTACCAAGGCTACGGCAGTTAGAAAATACCTACGTTCAACTATTACACAGATATTCCATAAGGTTAACACAATCATGATTGCGTCTGTTAAACTATTGAAGAGACGACTTAAACTTGACCATTTAGAACCTTTAATTTGATAGCTTCCTTGTAAGCCATTGACTTTGTACTAAAAACCAAATGATTTTGCCACATACTAAAACTTTTAATAAATATGTGTCGCATAATTCTCTATATATGTCAATTAGGTCGATAAATCTACAAAGAGTAATAATTTTCCATCCAAGTGGACTTCCTGTTTATTAACTTCCCATTCCGAGTATTTAAATCTTGACCTTTATACATTTATTTTTTCCGAGCGCAGGGAGATATGGAGATTAATTGACACAAGGAAATTCATATTTTTGAAAGCATCGTCCTAGTGAAGTATGACTTTGAGAGGGTTAGGAAATCCTCATATCGCCAGGGGCGGGTCCAGGTGAGGGCGTAATGGGCGTACGCCCACCTTAAAAAAAAAACAAAACAAAAAATTACGTAATCTGCTAATATTGTTACATTAGTGCATTTCACAATTATTTTATGTTTTTTAGCCGAAAAAAGGTCCAAAAAATTGTTCGCCTCCCTCCGCTCGGCGAAAGATTTGATTCTACGCCCCTCGTTCAAATATCCTAGAAACGCCCCTGATCGCCCAGGGAAATTAATGTTGTGTCCCACGACTCTTTGACATACAAGAAGTCAGAGATTTAAATACATTGTGTGTGTATTGTCTCATATCCTCTTGATTTACTAATTGCATCGCATAAGTTATAGATAATTTTTTATCATTTATATCCGACACATATATATGTATAGACATAAGAAGATGTGGTATGATTGCCAATGAGACAACTCTCCACAAGAGACAAACTGACACAGAAATTAACAACTTTAGGTCAACGTACGGCCTTCAACAATGAGTAAAACCCGTACCGTATAATCAGCTATAAATAGCCCGAAATGACAAATGTAAAACAATTCAAACAAGAAAACTAACGACCTGATTTATGTACAAAATAATGAACGAAAAATAAATATGATATGCAGCAACAAACGACGACCACAGAATTACAGGCTCCTGACTGGGGACAGGCACATACAGAATGTGGAGAGGTTAAACTAGTTTGAAGTGCTTGCTTTAGTTATACACCTAAAATAAACTTAAATGATTTTGCTATGCATAAAGTGTTAAAACGCACAAAACACTCGTTACTTCACATGTTCTGATGGAAATATGATGTTTTGTTCAGTAACGCATGGTATGGTATCAACCAGTCAAATATTTATTTAGTTATCAATATTTTGATAAAAAAGAAACGCCATATTGACCGTGCTAAGTGATTTCGCTATGTATAAATTCATCGTTACATCGCATCAGGATGTTGATTGATATTGTTTTGAATATTCCATGCTCTGTATTAGTGTTTTGTTTCTAGTGGTCACAATTGTTTTTGTCGGAATCGTAAATCCAGACAACAACGCCATAAAAGTACATAAATTTAAAACTATAAGCGAGTATTCATTATGGACAAGCTTTAAGCTAAAAAGACATGTAACATCCTCCTAAAGATCCGGATCGTAACGATACGTGATAAATCAGCCACTTATTATACAACTTTATTTATATTATTTTTTATGTTAAATCCCCCGCCTATTCGGAACTTTGCTATACTCTTTAATCGTTTATAATGAAGCGTTACTTAAATACTTGATTCAATTTCCGACCGGAAAATCTCTCCAGTCACTCGCTGGTCATGTTTTCCCTTCCTTCTTGTTATTCGATCATGAATGGAATACATAGTACGTGTATCATATTTCTAAATGGATTGTTAACACTGTGTATATTCAGATGTGATTCAGGTATGTTTAATTACAAATATCAATAAGCATTTTGTATTATAATCTACTTTTTTTTCTTTTAATATGAAACATATCAAGATAGAAATTGTGGTTAGTGTATCGGCTATAGATGTGCTGAATGATTTTGTTTAAATAATTTAAAACAAACATTCATTCTCGTTTGAATCGTTTAAAATTTGTCAATTCGAGGCCTTAAATAGCTTACTATACGGTATGATGTTTGCTCATTGTTGAAAGCCGTACGGTGACCTATAGTTGTTAACTTCTACGTCATTTTGGTCTCTGGTGTAGAGGTGTCTCATTAGCAATCATACCAAATCTCCTTATTTTTATATACAGTAATTCTTTTACAACATCAACATGCATCTAATTCACATATATATGTAAAACTGTTTATTTGGAATAATAGTAAATATTTTAATCTTATCTATCAAACATTTGAATTTGAAGAAAAAGTAGAAAATCAATTTAGATGTCTTCTCGCTTCTCAGTGTTATAAGTACACTTATTATATACTATATGACCATACTATAAATTCATATACATAGATATAAGAAGATGTGGTATGACTGCCAATGAGACAACTCTCCATCCAAGTCACAATTTATAAAAGTAAACCATTATAGGTCAAAGTACGGTCTTCAACACGGAGCCTTGGCTCACACCGCACATGTATTTTAAAGGAGAGGGGAAAGATACCAAAGGGATAGTCAAACTCATAAGTTGAAAGAACTGACTATACCATGACAAAAACATTAAAAACGACCAAAGGACAAACACCAATCTACAAAACACAACATAAAACACTAAAGACTGAATAACACGAACTCTATCACAAACCGAGGGAGTAATCAGTGTAAAATAAAGAGGTTCCTCTCTCTTGACAAAGTACCAAAAGACTGAATAACACGAACCCTACCACAAACTGAGGGAGGAATCAGTGTAAAATAAAGTGGTTCCTCTCTCTTGACAAAGTACCAAAAGACTGAATAACACGAACCCTATCACAAACCGAGGGAGGAATCAGTGTAAAATAAAGTGGTTCCTCTCTCTTGACAAAGTACCAAAAGACTGAATAACACGAACCCTACCAAAAACTGAGGGAGGAATCAATGTAAAAAAAGAGGTCCCTCTCTCTTGACAAAGTACAAAAATATCCCTCACTCCACAACAACCCAACTCAAACTAGCCGAAATAAAAGGTGACAATGATAAACAAAAATTTTAAAGTTTGAAATCCTCTTTATGGTAAACAAAAGTTTTACAAAGATCTTCATAGAGATCTTGTATGATTTAACTTAAATCTTAGCACAGTATAATTTTAACTATTATACAACAATCAAAGGTGAATAGTTGTTACATATATTAATCGTAGATCGGCAATTTGAAACATTGGTCAGTAAAGGCGCTGGATCACAGAGTGGAAGACCTTTTAACTTTTATATTTATTTTTCATTTTTACATTATTATCATTTAGATTTTCGTTTTAATTTGAGTTTGCAAGTCTTTTCACTATTTCTCATGATATAAGGAAATATATAAAATACCAAGTGTCTTAAAACAAGTATACCTTAACAATAAACTTTGTCATTATCCGGAAATAGATAGCGCATAAAATTATAAGTCTGTCAAGAATGCATTGTAACTTTATTGTATTATAACAAGCGGAAGTTTACAGAAAATAAGATGTAAAGTACAACAGACCCTGTAGGGACTTTCCCTCCTGAAGTTAAAAGAAGGCTGATATATTTAACAGATAATATTTTTAATGATTCATTAAATTAAAATTGCCTTAAATACGTCCGTAGATCAATGAATCCTGCAGATTGAATATATTAAAACTAAAGTCAGTGATTTGGGTTTTTGTTTTGATTTAGTTTGGTGTTAACTGCAACGTTAAGCTTATTTGGCTATATCTTCGCGGCCAGTTGTTATTGGTGGAGGAAGACGGAGTACCCGGTGAAAACCACCGATCTCAGCAGGAAAACAAACAATTAGTCAATTAAGATTGGCGTCGAACACACATGCTAAGTGCGGTGTTCGAACTCACAACCTCAGTGTTGACAGGCTTGTCATACAGTGCTTTTTTTGAATAGCATAGTACGATTTTACTCATTATGAGAATAACAAACAAACAGATATATAATTCAATTAATTGAATGTAATGTCCCTTTTTTTTGTCTCCTTTTAAAAAATATGGAGCCATTAATGAGATATTTATTTAAATTAAGGCAACATTAATTTACTGATGTTCAATTTATTTAAAAGAGACAAGTCAATTAAACACAAAAAACTAGGTGAATTGCATAAACTCCAAAAGGAGTCAGACCGGTTTATGTCGACAGGTTTAATCGTCACCTTCTACAATGCTACACCTACCATGCACATCCCCATTCCGTTAAAATGTCACATTCTAGAATAGGACATAATCGCATAAATGACAGATCAGGCTAATATACTGGTATCCTAAAAGATCTAATGCCACCAAAACACTTTGCTAGTGGATTAGGACAACAACAGATTGTACCTGTCAACTAATCCATTAGGTTGACTGCAAAACATATTCATTTTCGATTTCAGTCGTTCTTCACATAACTCTTCTGGAACAATTTTTGTGTTAGCCCGTATACTTTTTTACATGCACGAGCGTACTGTTTTAACTAAGATAAGTAAAAGCAATACAATATGGTAGAGGGTATGTTACTGCTGTGACATGGTAAGTTAAAAATTGGAAAACTGAAATCCTGTTTGTCATTGATTCTAGTTTGAAACAGACCGTCTAGTTTCGTTAGTATACTCAATATCAATTGCACAAAGATAAATGAGATCTATCTATTAATTAAAATGCTGGTTATTGAGTAACAGGACATCATCAATATATCACAAAGTGAAACTAATTAAGTTCTCATCATCGAAAATCTCAGATCATCTTTTTTTTAAATCTACTTTTAAACTTACAATGAGAAAGTACCACTTCAGTAATGTTCAAGTTTGATCTTCTTTTAGGGTTATTGTTTATATACAACAGCAACCATTGTATTAACATTTCTTTATTTAACGAGGAAGCTTTTATCCCTACTGATTTTATTACTACTACTTTCGTATGAATACTTATGTGAATTTGATGGAACACGTAATAGTTAAGCTTACAATTTACGAAAAGTACTATTTATGTAAAAATTTTGGGAAGAGTATAATATATATCCCAAAAAAATGGCAGAACATAAGAAAACAAACAGTTGTTTTCTCTCCAAAAAATATGTCATTCTTTAATTACTTTATTAATATTTTAAATAAAATGTTTCCTAGTTAAGTAAAGTCTTATACAGGCGAAATATGTCAGTACTATATTTTTAAGGATATTTTTACTAGGAAGTGTCCTTGTTTATAAGCTATTTAATCAAATTGTTGTCATAGCGAAAAATATAAATACTTTTTTTTAAACAAAACTAGAAGACCAGTTACCGCACATGTGAAGTAATATAATTATCTGTAATATTTGTAATTAATAAATGACAATTACACCTTTTCAATTTGGTAACATATTTTCTCAACAGCTAAACTTTTCCAGGTGATTTGGCTATTAAGTCAGGTAATAAAGGTTGTTGAACTCAATTGCATATGCTTGTTGTTGGTTTCTTTTCATGAGTACGTAATTTAAAAATTAGTACTGTTATTTTTTATTGTTTTAGATACTATCAACATTTACTTGTCAAAGCAGAATGTAACAGGTTCACAAGATAACATTACTGGGATTTGTAATGCAACTGGGTTATCAAGAAATGAAATCGTTTTGAATGATACATGTAACAGATCACCTGTGTTGGCATGGATAGGTGCACATGCTAGCTATTCCCCTTGGATAGAATATAAAGGTATGAGAAAAATAGCTTTGAATAGAAGACACAAGCGAAATGACGAGCATGTGAATTATATAAATGATTTTGTTGTTCAAAATGTTGCAGTGTCCATTTATAACGTATCTTTAATGTGTTATTTGTTCAGTTATCTCGGAAATGCAGTCCTTGTTTACAAGATCGACTTTGTTGACTTTGAAATTGATAAAAAATTTCGAGAAATGTTATAGCTTAGAGCAAATCACAATGAATGGTGACCACATATTTGAAAAAGGATATCAAAAACACAAACAAAAACATTAAGATAAAGAACAATAAAGGTATATCCCTCCGCTTGAAAGTCAAATGTCAAACGCTTTAAAAAAATGATATTTTCCATTTTTCCATCGCACTAATGATCAATATAAGGAAGTACAACTTCGATACTATAGTGAAGTGGAGATGTGTCGATGGCCCTTCTAAATGGGTTATTGTTTATGTGTTACAACAACTATTGTTTTGTCACTTTCCATTTAACGAGGTATTTCCTGTCCTTCTGGACATTCTTCCTACTTATGGCAAACAAAAGTCCAATAAAATTTTAATGCTCAGATCACGTTTTTTTAAGGTTCGTGCAACCATTTTATATTGTTCGTTCCAGACCAGGAGTGTGATGCATATTTGCATAAATATTCGTCTTTTTTTAATCAACATCATTGTCCTTTATTAGTTCCATATAAAGTTGAATTCTTTGATTAGTCGTTTTTACCCCATGCCGGATAACAAATTGGACCTCGTTATTTTAGTATTATAGATATCTTAATTGATGCAACTCGACAGTTTCACCTGACCAGTTCTTGCTCCCCTACAGGACTTAAATTCACGTTATTATATTTTAGTACTTCATAAAGCATGATACTCGGTTAATTGTGCATTTTCTAGCGATTTGTAGCATTACTTGCTTTTATAACACATTTGTGAAAAGGAATAAGAGATAGACATGTGTACATTATTGTCAAAATAAAGCATATTCTAATAAATGTCCAGTAAAACATAATGTTACTGAAAAAAATTAAGCCTAAATCCACTTTTCGGTTTAAATTATTTGGTAACGAATATGTCGAAACCTGTAGTGAGACAGGCGAAGATGTCTTAATCATCAAAATAGCAATGTTCTAATTTTCTGATGAATAACATGAAATGGTCGATTTAATCAAATAAAAACAAAAACAAAAACATATAATAATATTTTCTCATTGCTAAGAAATCAATGATATCATCGTACCGTATCATATTAATTTATGTGCAATTGACATTTAAATATCTCATCCGATTGGTAGCCGAGAGGTTTTGTTGATACGTTCATGAACACTCACATATAATATTACTCCAAGAAAGGGCTTGAACCCTAGCGACGGCAAATAAAAATTTACATAAGTCAAATGTAAATCTTAAAACTTCTTCAAGTTACGAACAGAAATCAGTAAATTAGCTAATTAAAAGTTAATGAGATCAAGAACACGAAGAGATCAATTGAATAATTTGATGAGTGACTGATAAAAGAAGCGTTGGGTCTAGATAACGAAACCAAAATACATGAAAAGGCTGACGTCACAACAGTGGTACATTATTTATAAAACTGTTTACCAATTAAACATGCATCGGTTTCTTCAACTTTCTTATTCTTGCACTTCTCAAGAAGTCCCGGCCCCGACGTACAAATCAGATCTCAGAAGAACTTTAGAAGAAAAAAAAACATTTTTTAAACTTCTCAATTAAAATAAAAAATTAACAGATATGGATGGTAAAATATGTAACGACAATCGGTAGCGTACATCATTTTGTCCATGTAAAGGAAACATAAATTTTCATTTGAACTTGTGCAATCACCAGATTTGTATCATTAACGATTTTGAATGGATGCAACATGGCGAGAGCAACGAGCGGAACACGAACTGCTTACCTGTCTGTACTTCGATCCAGGTTTTAAATTGGTTTTGCTATTAACATTTCTTTCGAAGTTGTAGGAAAGAAATAGGACTAATTCCTCCAGAATGTATTTCCCACTGCAGCCATTTTCAAATGGCCATTATTTCCCTCCTAAATTTACAGCATCACTGATGATATGTTTATTTTGAGGTTTTAAAAGTTTTAAGGCTCATTTCTAAACAGATAACAAACGTCTATATAAATGCAAAAAACTGTAATTTTGAAAGATATGGCAAATGTTTTTTATTCATAAAAAAGTACCATCTCACAAAAAACCAAACGCGTCTTTGATATGTATTATTCTATATATTGTCAACCAATTACAAATTAATCTATTTTTGGTTTGTTTTTTAATACAAAATCTAGCAAAATTGGCAATGTTACAACTTTTTCTCACAAACAAACATGTAGTATTTGCAGTATTCTTTCAAACTTGTATTAAACAGAAATATGTAGCGTTAAACAATATTTTGAAATGTGTAAATTGTTTGAAACCTTTTTAGTATATCTAATTCAAATTCCAATAAGTTTAAACATCTTTCCTGGTGCAACCCTGTGAATAAAACAAATACACATGAAAAAAGCCTTATAGCCTTACCACTCAACGGACTGAAATAGGGAATACACTTTTATTATTTGATGTGTGTGTATTTGTTTTAATGGCTTCGCATTGCGTTGCGAGGCTAAAAGATTATCCGATAAAACGACATCATGGGATTATCACCTAATACAAATTTTGGTTTATTTCATGATGATGATGATGCTTAGATTCGTTCGGCTTTGATAAGTTAATAATTGGGAATGCCTCACGAAAAGGAGAACATTATTAATACGAAAGATCAGAATCCTGATTGAATAAAATAAGATTATAGGTATTAAAGACCTGATCGATAAATAATATTGCTTTAGGATCGCGTCGGGTACATTGTATCAAGGCTGATAGTTCAAATTGGTAATTTTATTATTTAGCATTCCATTTGCTTAATCTGCAACAGTGTAGCCCAATTCGTGACTATTAGAACGGATAGCACTCTTCTTTGCTTCACGAGCCTGTACCTGTCCGGTCTCAATTTGTATACCTAAAAACTCCTTTTGTTTTCCAAAAGATCCCACACATTACTATCTGGTTTTCATTTAGTTTTGCCACTGGATCCATCCATCCAGCCATCCATTTTACAAAGATGAATATCTGAAAATAACGTGTTGCATAAAAAGGGTTGTATACGGGTCCATATTCTTTTAGAAGTCTTTTGTGTTAGTTAGTCTTTTCTTGGTTACTTTTAAATTTAATATTGTTTTATTTCAGGATGTGGAATATACAATTCGAATACCGTTCTGATACAACTAAATTTTACTCAAAAAAATTTCAGTGCGGAACCAGACATTTTTAAATGTTTCGAACATTGCCGAATGCGTTACATTAAGCATAATTATATTGGGTTTCAGCGATACAAATGTTTATGTTATTTTACCGCTGATATAGAAATAGTGCAATGTGAAAACATTACCATCACAGAATGCGGGAATAATCAGAACTTCATCTGCGGAGATAGGGATAATGTAACTGTGATATATGAGATAAAAAGTAAGTGCAGTATGATGAGGATTTCTGTAAACATTTACCCTCCAAAACATATTTACTATATTTGTTTTCTAATTTTTTATCTTTTATCTGTTATTATATTTTATTTAGATTTTTTCAATTGTACCCCGCTCAGCGATCTCGGGAGATCCAGTGTTGCGTTTTATAAGTATACTATAAATGGATATGCATGTACATGTGTTTATTTAAATAACTGTATCTCGTCGCTTCCACATCTCTTTTAAGTCATAAATACGCAGGTTACATACTACATGATTCACCTACTTAGGAGATATGTATTGTATTTTAAGCTTTGCCTACGTAAAACGCAGATTTTATTGTCACAAATTGAATTTTCCTAGCGTAGCGTACGCAAAGCTTAAAACAAAATACAGTTATCTACATTCTATTGCCACATAGTAAAATAAATTCCATTTTAGTAAATATTTTGGATTAAAATGCAATAAAAGGAAAAAGTCCGCGAAACTGTTGAATCGTCTTTGGCTTCAAAACCATGTGACGTCACAGGTATACTTCCGATGTCAAACATAAACACTAGACGTATTTCTACATTTCGTACGCTTCTGAATGGTTCAAATATTGACACAAAAAAAAAAGATTTCGAGGCTTAAAATGTGACTTTTTTGTTTATTTTTTGAGAAATTACATTAAAAAAATCGAAATTCAAAATGGTGGCTAACCCTTCAAATATTTGTCGATGTCCAATGGACATTATTGTTCCACAAGAATTACATTATAATTTTCCATTTGACCTTAGATTGGAAGCAATAAGTGCAATTTGGGCAATTTGCATAAAATGATGAAATTCGCTCAAAAGATCCTTGTAGATAAATGCCACTCGAAACACGATCCTTATTATGTGTCAGACCACCAATTCAAAATCCCTATCTATTCAACTACTTTTTTCAATTTCCAGAGCTGTCTAAATATTTTGCCTTAAGTTTAACTTCATAAAAACCCAGGTATATCTTGAATTGCACATGTATCATCTTTTTACATGTCAATTTTCAGCCAAGGTTTAAAGTCTTGTAATGATAAATGAGCGTTCGGAAGGCAACTACTACTAAAAATAACTCTTGGTTAACTGATAATCTTAATCAGTCTACTATGGAGCGAATTAATTTTCAATTTTTATTGTAAATTCATGGACAAGTAAATATTAGCTCAAAATGGTCTAAATACATTTCTCTTTCACCACAAGTTTCTTTTCTGCTTATTTGTTGGTTATTTTAAGTAAAAAAATGACATCAAAAGCACTATCTTTGTCAGGGAAGGGCTACTTTTACGTTCTAAATTGAAGAGGGTGAATTGGTGGTCTGACACCTAAAATACATTTTTGAATCACGATGGATCAAACCATAAATTAAATGGTATTCAGAAAAAAAAGTTATAGATCAGTTTTCACACAAATACTTAGTAATTTTGTAATATATGAATAGCACTAAAACCGGTGTCCCCGCACCAGATTTAGAAATTTGGGAAAGTGATTGAAGGCACAAATATGAACAAACTATATATTATGTGTTATAAAGGTATAATCAGATTGGTCAATATAAGCTGTATTCTTCTGTAAATTGCAAATTTATGAGAATTGATATCGGAGGTATATAGAAAATGTTGTAAAACCGCCTATCATAGTTGAAGTTTGAAACTTTAAAAGTTTCATCTATAACTAAAAACCAGGAATAATCGATCATAATTTGGTTCATGGTTAAAAAAATAATTCATTGAGGTTAAATTTCTTCGACCAAGAAACTGTAAAATAGTTTGTAGAACCAATTGTTCAAATAAAAATAATTTTAAATATCCGAACGCCGTTTTTTGCTATACTCGGAGGTACACAATAACAGGAGAATCTATATGTTAATGCGGTAAAAATTTAATTGATTTTGTCTAGATCCGACTATGATTTTGAAAAATGACACCGGTGAATGTGGAATAGTCAATATAAGTGATAACCAGACAACATTTAGTAGTATAGAATGTTCGAAAAAGGCAGCAATATTATGCTTCGGTAAGTGAATACTATTTTTTCTTGTAATAAAATAACTTCTGAATATAACATGCTGGATATTATCTATTATGTAGTTTTTAGTCTGAATATTGACTCAAATGAGTCGTTAGTTTTGTTGGGGAATTTGTAATCATATTAAAATTTCGTGATTTGAAGCGATGATTTATAATGTTAAGAAAAACAAACTAAAACTGGGAATTAAAGACTTTTCTTCAAAAACATTAAGACGGTACAAAGGAAGAGGAAGCAATCAAACCCATAAATCGATAAAGGACAAACAAAGACCGTGGCATCGTAAAGACAACGAAAAGACAAACAGCAATCCACAGTACACTACAAAGAAAACAGAAAAATGAACAGGACGAAAACCACAAAAATCCAACCCAGCTATTCCAAAAGGGTCAGCCGCTCCTGCTCCAATAGTAATACCCTGCATTTTTTCTCTTGTTAATGATTCACTTCATCATTTAAAGTCAACATACAGGGCCGTCAATAGTTTCTGTTTGGGAAGGCATCAGACTGACTGGTTGGCCTTGTGTTGAAAGGTTTAAGTTATAACGATGATACATTTTTTTTAAAGTGTAGATGATGGCTTGTGTGTGTATTTCAAAGTTATGCAATTACTTGGACATTTTTGCCATATAACAGTGTGTCCCCATCTGCAATAAAGGGGATATATATTTTGTGAAAAGTCAATACTTCATATAGGTCACACATTGTGGGTCATCAATTCTCTTCGGTTTTGTGCTTTATTTGGCCTTTTTAACTTTTTTTATTCAAGCATCACTGGTGAGTCTTTTGTGGACAAAGCGCGCGTCCAGCTTACAAAATTTGATTCCTGGTATCTATGAGTTTAAATACTACCAAGTCTTACATGTAAGAAATGTATGATTTCGATTACTGTGCTAAATACGCGTGTCTCTGGAACGATCCGCACCATATTCGCCCAGGACAAAGATGTCAAACAAAATTCATTAATTGTTAGGAAGCATCAAACGTTAAAGAAATATAAACAAAACAGCCAAAATGAGTCAAACGACATTTTTGTTTTAGTTTTGGTATAATTACATAGTTATAGCGTCAGAATTTCTAATGAAATATGTTATCTGAATGATGTCAGTAGCTAAACACTGGTTACTGGGCAAATAAACAGTCAACATATATCCCTACCGACTAATGGTAACTAATCCCATTTCGATTATTTTAAGACTAACTTTAAATTTAGGCAACAGTAGATAACAGATAAATCGATCAATAAGATAAAAAACAAGGTAGCAATCAAAAACTAAGGAAATCGCATGAAGTGCAAATGAAGCGAGACCAGAAACATCGACATGGTAAACGTTTCCAATATGCATGCTTCACTTACCATGGAAATCCAGACTCAAAACATCTTAAGGAGTTCCCTTAGTATGTCAATTCCAATAAGAGTGTACACAAAAAACCGTTTTGAAAAGTCAAAATGCTTTCATCTAATCGAATACAGCATTTTTATATAAGGTTAATTTAAATACAAGTGTTAGTAAGAAAAGCTTATAGAAAGATGTTTCACTATTTGTTACTTTTATAAACCTATATTTTGTGCTTTCAATAAAAGGAATATTTGTGTATACGTAAAATCTCAACGACACGCTTAACCATACTGGCGGCCTTCAAGGACAAATGACTATAAAATATATAAAGCTCTAAAAAGCCTCGAGTAATTGAAAGTTCAGACTGTAAAAGATATGTCGACAACATTAAGTCCCGTTTTACATTGTTTTAATCAACCGGACCATGATCCTTCTTTATCAATGAAAGAATGCATCATCGAGAAAATTTATCACCACACCAATAGCCCTAAAATAAATACCCCATTCCGAAAAGATAGAGAAAATTTATGGATATGGGAACTAGTTACTGCAATGTCATATGGTTGCAATGGTACCATCAAAGGAGTAAGACATTTGTCAAGTCTATCTCCAGTGAGGTTAATGTAATGAACTTATTTAATACAACTTTAAGACATCAGCGTAGTCATGGGCAAAACCATCACCAACGGTCCAACGTAAAAAAGTCTTCCAAATCTAGATCGCCATCTGGGAGCTTTGATGACCTTCTTTCCGCTTTCATCATCCGCTAGGGTTACATAACATTAGAACTATTCTTTTTCACTGCTTGTTAATTTTCTAGTATGTTTGAGAGATTATGCACTTGACAAGGGATGCATAAATACATTTTCTCCAATATACAGACTGGTCAGTATAATTTGTGATGTACCTCTTTTCCGTCTTTTTAAACCAGTACGATCGGAACCTTTACATGATGAAAAGAGGAAATTCCTTCCAATTCAGTTTTCTGATTAAGGAATTGATGCAATCAACATCAGCAACGTTCTTCATCACAAGGAGATAACATTTAAAATTCCAAAATCAGTCTGTTCCTATTGTATCCTACAGTTACACCAAAACCATTGCACCTAAAGTATTTAACTATAAGCAAGCATTGTAGGACCTTGATGTAGAAGAATACATAAAAAAAACTCTGACATGTAACTGTTTCCACTAGCCTTATATTTACAGCCATCTGGCCATGTTATTACTGAGGACCTAAACAAAATTCAACATGAACCTCTCCGAAAGGTGATATCTCATAGTCCGAAGTTCAGAGAACACAAACACATCAATAGGAACCATAACTTGAAAATATTTATGGATTCCATTGAGGACTACGCCAGAGCATGGGCTAAACCAGAAGCAGTTGAACTGGACACTGTTAGAATGGGTCAAAACAATCAGGTCTCTGATAAAACGGCGAAGTCATAAGTTGACAAAACTGTGTGAATGATCGACCAAAATTCGTCTTTAGAGACAAAGAAGCTGTTAAATGTCTGTCATCTCTTAACGATAAATATGTTGTTGTTCCTGCGGACAAAGCTTCCAATAATATTGTCTTTGTATGTCAATCGTACCACTACAAGTGTCTTGTAAAGGGATTAGGAATAAATGAGCACTTAGGTAATCCCCATATAAAAAATATCATAAGGATGAGATTTTGGCGAATCTCCAGTCCTTCAATGAACATAACATTGAACAGCAAATCTGAGGAATTGCCTTGTTTGTATTGGATACCTAAGCTTCGCCAAATTCCATACAAACAACGGTACATTGCCGGCTCATCTGCATATTCTACAAAGTAATTGTCCATTAAAAGGACAAAATTTTTGTCTTCGGAAATACTGTGAAACTGTTTACCCGCGTAGTAGTATTAACCATATACGGATTCTAAAAAACTCTAAAGAACTTCTGGATAATTTTAAATCTCGATCTTTTTCTGAAGTTAGCTCTATCAAAACGTTTGATTTTTCAATCCTGTATACCACCATCCCCAATGTGAAATTGTAAAATCGTTAAAAAGAAATAATCCACACTGCTTTTCAATATAAAAATGGTAGCATACGCTATAAATTTATTACTTTTGGATACCATACGGCATATTATGTTAGCAGTGAACAAAAAGATAAAACATGCTACACAGAAGACCAAGTGATCAGTATGCTGGAGTTTCTTATTGATAACATATTTGTTGAATTAAGAGGTATAATTTTTTTAAATAAATTGTCGGGATTCCTATGGTAACGAGCTGTGCGCCTTTCCTTGCCTACCTCTTCTTATTTTCATATGAGTCGGAGTTCCTTCAGACACATGTCAAAAACAAGAAGATCAAAGAAGCCAGATCATTTAATTTCACATTCAGATATATTGATGATGTTCTGTCCATTAATAATCAAAACTTTTCTGATTTGGTTCCATTAAAATATCCTTCAGAACTAGAAATTAAAGAAACAACAGACACGGCTTCCCCCGTCTCATTTTCAGATTTTGACATATTTGACAATTTGACATAAGCGGTCATCTCAGTATCATAATCTATGAAAAACGAGACGATTTTTATTTTGAAATTATCAATTTCTCCCACCTCAGTAGCAATATATCAACTTCACCGGCATATGGGATATACATTTCCCAACTCATTCGGTATTCAAGAGCTTGCAGCTGCTACTCAGATTTTATAAATCGTCACCAGTATCTGAGCAGAAATTTGATGAACCAGGGTTATGTCAAAGAACGTTTCGTCCTTTTCTAAAAGAAAAGTTCATAAGAAGATACCAAGACAGTGTTGATAAATATTCCGTATCAACTTCATAAATATACATGATGGCCTTGAAGTATAGATTCTAGGTACTGACGTTGTTTATCATCTTAATCGCGTGTTATAGTGTTTTTTTGTTTGTCTTTGTAAATTATTAACCTTTACTGTTTAGTCCATTTTTGGTAATATCCTTTTGGCGTGGCTGGGTACTTATACATCTCGCCATTGTGTTATTGTGCTATGGTTATTTTTTGTATTCTTGTCTTTCATTTTTGCTTGTCTGCTTTGTCTATATGCCATTTTGTTTTTCTTTGTTGACATATTTGTTTGTTTTTATAGTGATAAAGATTATAACACAATGTTGACTGCTGTACCCCTATTTGTGACATGTTTACCTAAATATGACTGTTTGTTTTGTTCACACATTATTGACAATAAAATGGAATTTTTTGCGACTGTCATACAAGTGAGATGTTAAGCTAGCTGTAAAACCAGGTTTAATCCACCATTTTGTACACAAGGAAATGCCTGTACCAAGTGAGGAATATTACAGTTGTTTTCCATTCGTTTGATGTGTTTGAGCTTTTGATTTTGCCATTTGATAAAGGACTTTCCTTTTTGAATATTCATTGGAGCTCGGTATTTTTGATATTTTACTTTTTAACAATTTTTAAGCACTACCCCTCGAGAACATACTATTCCGATTGAATTTATTTTCAAGTTATACACGGACAGTAACTACATTCACAGCACTTAAACATTATGTTTAATTTGTTTTACAGACAATGGAACTTTAACAGGATATCCTAACAAGACAGAAAATTGGGGAAAAGCAGTGAGATTTTGTCAAACACAAAACGGGTTGATCAGTTCTGTAGAGAACGTAATTAATGGAAGTTTACATAACGTAACAGATGGCACATACTGGGTGTCTGTAGTTCGTGGTATATCCTATACATCTCTACAAGGTGAATACAAATCAATTTAAACAAAAGACAGGGCCAATTTCCTTTGAACATATTTCACACCAGGGCAATTTCAAAAAAAATTCAATCTAAACATTCACAGTATGATAGCCTCATGAGTGTACTTTCAGTTGCAAAGAATTAACTGACTTTTTGTGTAGTGTATCACCAGGTTATAAAGCCTCTAGATACGTGAGGTAGCTTAATATAGCTTACAACTGCAAATATGATAGAGTGTTTTGCTTTTTTTAGTATTAATAAAAAAGTATAAGAAGGACATTCCTATCAAAATAAAAACTTTGTGTTTGGAGTAAAGCTTTCTACTGACTTTAGGGCTTTATGGTACATATGATTTCATTTTGGTTTAATATGTCCTTTGAAGCAAATAAATCTTCATTGAATCGAACATTATCGAAATAGTTCCCAAAGGCAATTTGGATTTAGGGAAACATTAAGAATGCTAATTTCATCAATTTGTTTATTGACCGTGTTGTCGAAACAAACACAAGGATAATTGGGTCTACGTATTTAAAAATCTTAACAACATTCGTCTATACGATAAGTTTGTGTAACTGCAATTGAGTTCTATCTTTGATTATTTATAAGTAACCAAGGTTTTATCATCATATCGAACAAATGTATTCTAATATATTTTGGTATAAAATCTAAACTGAAAGATGGTGTAAGCAGTTGTATAAAATAGGTTATATAGAAAACACACAAGCAAAGACAACTAAAAGTAATTAAAAAAACTGAGAATAAGGCAACACAAAGATGTAAATAAAGCGACAAATCATAGATAGAAAATAAAGTACCGAAGCTTACAACTTGACCCTCCGGCGGAAGAAAACAAAACGAAAAACAGAAAAAATGTTGTTCAATGTTCTTTTGCGAATTAAAGAAAGACACACAGTTTAGACACACAAAGACTATAGAATTTATAAATGAAATAAATAATTTTGTTGATTTCGTTTAGATAATAACGTTGAATGTAAAACAGTCAACATTAAAGATAACAAGACAACTTTTGGAAGTATGGCATGTTTAAAGAAGGCAGCAGTATTGTGTTCCAGTGAGTGAATAGTATTATGTTAGAAACATTTCCGAGACAATAAACAATTGAGTTGATTATTTTTCAATGGTCAGATAGAATATACCGGACTATGTATTGCCGTATGAGATTTAAAGAAAAACAAAGAACACCTTAGGGGGTAATCGAACTCACAAGTCAGAAAAAGAGAATCCACAACATGGCAAGATGAATTAAGAAAGACAAAAAGAAAAGAACAAATAACTTTGATATTGCCTATTACGCATTACACATATATTTTTTGTATCAATAATACGAATTACTTTTAGTAGCAGTTTTGTTTTGGGGGATATTTTTAAAATATATTTCATTTTTGTATAAAGGTATTTGGGGTATTACGGCGGGCGGGCAGACTCCTGCTGTATCCGAACAATAACTAGTTTACTGTGTTACTAATTCTTTTAAAATCTAAATATGGTATAACTAATGACAAAATGGAGGTTAAATTAGATTGTTGATTTTCGGTTCTGTCGTTCTTGAGTTATGGTCCTTCATTGTTTAAAAAAAAACCCAATGTATGTCGGTTCAGTGTAAAAACTTTAGAACTCTTCATCCAATACTTTTTCAAATACTTATTAGTTCTTTCCCATGACAAAATAGATGTCACGATTGGTATGGACGATTTTAAAATTAGCCGTTCATAAGTTTTGGCTCTTGATTGATTGGACAATGAAAATATTAAAGGTTAGAAATCCCATTTTACTCTCATTTTGACCACGTCTTATCGGTATTAAAATTTGCCTTTCTTAAATTATTTTTCAATTGTCTAATAGAAGATACCGAACTATAAATTGTCGTAAGAGATTAAAATAAAAGCAAGCTGAAACAATGGGGCAATCAAACTCAAAATCAAAAGCGGTCGAAAAAAGATGGTCAACAACATGGCAGAATGAAGAAACAGTAAAAAACAAATAGATAGCCAGCTAAAAATTGGTTGAACCCTTCTTAGAATTAGAGTGTAACCGCTGTGGATTGGTATACGTCGGTGAAACGAAAGGAAGGCTAAACGAACGTATGTGCGGCCATAGATCAGATATCAACCTCGATGCAAACGACATTCTTTACCAGCATTTTAATCAGCCTGATTATTCCATCGTTTCTATGACAGTTCGCATTATCGAAAAAATATACCATAAGACTAACAATTCTCAACTTGCAACGCCTCTCCATAGACAAAAAGAGGACTACTGGGTTCGACAATTGGTAACTGCGACGCCATATGGTTGCAGTGACTAAATTGATGGTATAGGTATTCTATCTAGTACTTCTCGGTGAATGTGATGAATATTTTCAACTCTACTCCTCGACGTAGACGAAGTCATGGTCATCGTCTTTATACATCACCTACTCTGCATGATGTCTCTATTAATGACTTGCTGCCATTTATACAAAAGCCGTTAGTTATTCATCACATTCGCACGAAACTTTATTCATTTTCCCTTTCAAAACTTAATTCTCTGTTCAATTTATGTTTGGAAACCACTGTTACAAACCCTCATTCAAACCAATAGCAACTTACAACTATCATTTCGGATATTGCAAGTCACAGACTTTTCAAACCAGTTCGCATTAGAACAGATGAAAAAGAGAAAAGATCTTTTCTTAAACTTTCCTTTGTCAACAAAGGTCTCGATGGCGTCAACTTAGGCAATATCCTTCATCATAAATTAGTTCAGTCGAAAATACCTCCTTATTTTAAAGATCAGTCTGTACCAATAATTTTTAATACCTATACCAAACCAATTGCAACTAAAATTTTCAATTACAAACACGTTTTGCAGGATCTCAATATTGACGACTTCAACTCTAAACCTCCTGATTGCACCTGTGCTAGTTCCCAATTCACATATAATCCGGCTGGCCACATTATTACCGGAGACCTCAACATTGTCAATAACACTTCCCTGCGAAATGTGTTATCCAAAGGTCCGAAATATCGTGAGCCTAAATCCATCAATTTCAAAATACTGATGGATTCGGTCGAGTATTATGCCAGGCAATGGGCTAAACGCGAGAAAGAAGACGAAGATACTCTTTCCGAATGTATTAAGGCTGTGACGTCGTTTATACAAATCAGAATTAAGAAACTAAATGGGTCTATCAATACCCATGCTACGTCAATCTTTAAAGACCCAAATGGTGCAAAACATTTGTCCTATCTCCATGACAAATATGTTGTTGTCCCCGCAGATAAAGCCCCAAACAACATCGTTTTTGTGTGTAAATATCATTACATATACTGCTTGATGAATGAATTAGGTATTGACAATTCACTTGGAAACTCAACATATATCCTCACGACACTTACCAAAGAGGAAATCCTGGATAATCATAGGTCTGTTCTATGTTCATTTGGAATTTCAACCAAAGATGAAGAATTGGATCTTTCATCACTGTATTGGATAACTAAACTACATAAGTGTCCTAACAAACAACGATATTTTGCTGGGCCTTCCAAATGTTCCACGAAACCTCTTTCTAAATTATTAACATCTATTTTATCAGCAATCAAAGCCGGGCTTCAGTTATTGTGAAACTGCCTATTCTCGAGATGGCGTGAATCAGATGTGGATACTAAAAAATTCCAAAGATCTTTTAGAGTACAAACAATCTAAGACTCTCTCATCTTGCAATAGTATTAAAATATTTGACTTTTCTACACTCTACACAAGTATTCCCCATTCCAAACTAAAAGACAAATTGAAAGAGTTTGAATTGATTTGTTTCATAAAAAAAAATAGCGAACGTAGATACAAGTATCTTGTCTTGGGGAGGGATAAATGCTACTTTGTAAATAATCCTTCAGAACTAGAAATTAAAGAAACAACAGACACGGCTTCCCCCGTCTCATTTTTAGACGTATAACTCGAATTTGACATAAGCGGTCATCTCAGTATCATAATCTATGAAAAACGAGACGATTTTTATTTTGAAATTATCAATTTCTCCCACCTCAGTAGCAATATATCAACTTCACCGGCATCTGGGATATACATTTCCCAACTCATTCGGTATTCAAGAGCTTGCAGCTGCTACTCAGATTTTATAAATCGTCACCAGTATCTGAGCAGAAATTTGATGAACCAGGGTTATGTCAAAGAACGTTTCGTCCTTTTCTAAAAGAAAAGTTCATAAGAAGATACCAAGACAGTGTTGATAAATATTCCGTATCAACTTCATAAATATACATGACGGCCATGAAGTATAGATTCTAGGTACTGACGTTGTTTATCATCTTAATCAAGTGTTATATTGTGTTTTTGTTTGTCTTTGTAAATTATTAACCTTTACTGTTTAGTCCATTTTTGGTAATATCCTTTTGGCGTGGCTGGGTACTTATATATCTCGCCATTGTGTTATTGTGCTATGGTTATTTTTTGTATTCTTGTCTTTCATTTTTGCTTGTCTGCTTTGTCTATATGCCATTTTGTTTTTCTTTGTTGACATATTTGTTTGTTTTTATAGTGATAAAGATTATAACACAATGTTGACTGCTGTACCCCTATTTGTGACATGTTTACCTAATTATGACTGTTTGTTTTGTTCACACATTATTGACAATAAAATGGAATTTTTTTCGACTGTCATACAAGTGAGAGGTTACGCTAGCTGTAAAACCAGGTTTAATCCACCATTTTGTACACAAGGAAATGCCTGTACCAAGTGAGGAATATTACAGTTGTTTTCCATTCGTTTGATGTGTTTGAGCTTTTGATTTTGCCATTTGATAAAGGACTTTCCTTTTTGAATATTCATTGGAGCTCGGTATTTTTGATATTTTACTTTTTAACAATTTTTAAGCACTTCCCCTCGAGAACATACTATTCCGATTGAATTTATTTTCAAGTTATACACGGACAGTAACTACATTCACAGCACTTTTAAAACATTATGTTTTATTTGTTTTACAGACAATGGTACTTTAACAGGATATCCTAACAAGACAGAAAATTGGGGAAAAGCAGTGAGATTTTGTCAAACACAAAACGGGTTGATCAGTTCTGTAGAGAACGTAATTAATGGAAGTTTACTTAACGTAACAGATGGCACATACTGGGTGTCTGTAGTTCGTGGTATATCCTATACATCTCTACAAGGTGAATACAAATCAATTTAAACAAAAGACAGGGCCAATTTCCTTTGAACATATTTCACACCAGGGCAATTTCAAAAAAAATTCAATCTAAACATTCACAGTATGATAGCCTCATGAGTGTACTTTCAGTTGCAAAGAATTAACTGACTTTTTGTGTAGTGTATCACCAGGTTATGAAGCCTCTAGATACGTGAGGTAGCTTTATATAGCTTACAACTGCAAATATGATAGAGTGTTTTGCTTTTTTTAGTATTAATAAAAAAAGTATAAGAAGGACATTCCTATCAAAATAAAAACTTTGTGTTTGGAGTAAAGCTTTCTACTGACTTTAGGGCTTTATGGTACATATGAATTCATTTTGGTTTAATATGTCCTTTGAAGCAAATAAATCCTCATTGAATCGAACATTATCGAAATAGTTCCCAAAGGCAATTTGGATTTAGGGAAACATTAACAATGCTAATTTCATCAATTTGTTTATTGACGGTGTTGTCGAAACAAACACAAGGATAATTGGGTCTACGTATTTAAAAATCTTAACAACATTCGTCTATACGATAAGTTTGTGTAACTGCAATTGAGTTCTATCTTTGATTATTTATACGTAACCTACGTTATTCATCATATCGAACAAATGTATTCTAATATATCTTGGTATAAAATCTAAACTGAAAGATGGTGTAAGCAGTTGTATTAAATAGGTTATATAGAAAACACACAAGCAAAGACAACTAAAAAGTAATTAAATAAACTGAGAATAAGGCAACACAAAGATGTAAATAAAGCGACAAATCATAGATAGAAAATAAAGTACCGAAGCTTATAACTTGACCCTTCGGCGGAAGAAAACAAAACGAAAAACAGAAAAAATGTTGTTCAATGTTCTTTTGCGAATTAAAGAAAGACACACAGTTAAGACACACAAAGACTATAGAATGTATAGATGAAATAAATAATTTTGTTGATTTCGTTTAGATTATAACGTTGAATGTAAAACAGTCAACATTAAAGATAACAAGACAACTTTTGGAAGTATGGCATGTTTAAAGAAGGCAGCAGTATTGTGTTCCAGTGAGTGAATAGTATTATGTTAGAAACATTTCCGAGACAATAAACAATTGAGTTGATTATTTTTCAATGGTCAGATAGAATATACCGGACTATGTATTGCCGTATGAGATTTAAAGAAAAACAAAGAACACCTAAGGGGGTAATCGAACTCACAAGTCAGAAAAAGAGGGTCCACAACATGGCAAGATGAATTAAGAAAGACAAAAAGAAAAGAACAAATAACTTTGATATTGCTTATTACGCATTACACATATATATTTGGTATCATTAATACGAATCAGCAGCTTTTTGGAGGGATAATATTTTAAATATATTTCATTTTTGTATATAGGTATTTGAGGTATTACATTGGGCGGGCAGACGGTCGGCTGACTCCTGCTGTTTCCAAGCAATAATTATATAACTGTTTAACCAATTCTTTTAAAATCTAAATATGGTATTACTGATGACAAAATGGAGGTCAAATCAAATTAATGATTTTCGCTTCTGTCGTTCTGGAGTTATGGTCCTTGATTGATTAAGAAAAACACTTTTTTTCGGTTACGTGTGAAAACTTTAGAACTCTTCATCCAATACTTATTCAAATACTAATTAGTTGTTTCCCAGGACAAAATAGATGTCACGATTGGTATTGTCGATTTTCAAATTAGCAACTCGGGAGTTAGGGCTCTTGATTGATTGAACAATGAAACTATTAAAGGTTAGAAAATCCCGGTTTGCTCTCATTTTGACCACCTCTTTTTCGGTATTCTTAAATAATTTTTTCAATTGTCTAATAGAAGATACTGAACCATAAATTATCGTATGAGAAAAAAGTAAAAGTAAGAAGAACCAAAGGGGGCAATCAAAAACTGCAATTGGAAAAAGAGGCAAAATAAAATAAAATGAAAAATGAAAAACACTAGAAATCCAGCTAAAATGGGGGGTGAACCCTGATTATCTTTGGACAGGCACACGAAATTATGGATTTTACTCATTGTTGAAGGCCGTACGGTAACTTGTAGTTGCTATCTTCTACGTCATTTGGTCTCTGGTGGAGAGATGTCTAATTGGTTATCCTACCACTTCTTTTAATATCATACAGTGACACCTAAATAAAGGCAACAGTAGTATACCGCTGTTCAAAAGTCATAACTAAATTAAAAGAAAACAAATCCGGGTTACAAACTTAAACCGAGGGAAACACATCAACTATAAGAGGAAAACAACGGAACAACAGAAACACTGAACTGCAACAAAAACAAATGCCAACATACATAGAAACGGACTATTTTATAACAAATGCCATTTCCTTACTTGGTACAGGACATTTTAAGAAAAATGACAACCCTACGTGACAGGAATACAGTACAAACAAGCGCAAGAACACTAAGCACAGAGAAATGCATAAATAAATAATATGATAGTACATACATGTAAACCACAGAATAACAACGGACATCTCCTATTAACTACGCACAAGTCACCACAAACAATGACGGATTTTTGTGACGTATATATAATCTTGAAATATATACAATTATATGGAACGAGATCCAAAAATTCATAATTATTTTCACAATATTACATCACCTTTTGTTGATGTGGTTCATAAGTGTTTCTCGTTTCTCGTTTTTTTATAGATTAAACTGGTTTTTTTTCTGTTTGAATTGTTTTACACTAGTCTTTTTGTGACCCTTTATAGCTTGCTGTTCGTTGTGAGCCAAGGCTCCGTGTTGAAGGCCGTACTTTGACCTATAATGGTTTACTTTTTACACATTGTGACATGGATGGAGAGTTGTCTCATTGGCAATCATGCCACATCTTCTTATTTCTATATAGTCATTACCTAGCATGTTACAATTGCGTTACACATAAATTTGATTTATTTGTTTATTTTGAAGTAATGCTATATCTTAATGATGTTTTGTTTTAACAAATTTAATATAAACAACGATGCGATATTCAAGCCAGAAGTCCCATAATTATCCACTTAAACTAATTGGATACATGAAGAATATACACACTCTGTCACAATATTAAATCGGAAATAGGACACAATCGGTAATATTATTGATACGAAGACTCTTCTTGTGTCTAAAGATCTACGATTCTAAGTGAGTGGAGCAAAAGACATATCGTAGCAGTCAATCCATTCGTTATGGTGACCGTAAAAGTAATGTAGTGTCGATTTCAGTCGTTCTTCAATATACCTCTGTTGGGCCATATTTTTTTTTGTGAAAGGAGCACACCCCTTGTTAATGAAGTCCGTAAAGTATGAACATGTCAATTGAGATATGTTTACGTGATACGTTGGGGACAGAAGCTATGTTACTGATGTGAAAGGGATGTTGACAATTGACAAATTTTAAATCTTCACGTGAGTCATAGACTCTAGTTTGAAGTTGTTAAAATATATGTCAATATCGAAGAAAAAACCAAGATATGAAGTTGGAATTTTAGTGTCGGAAGTATCCTTTATCTTAATTAAGGTTAGTAGGATATATGAAATGCATATACTCAGTTGGGACATTGAGTACATCATCAATATATCTGAAAGATGAATTTAAGAGGTTTCTGTATGAATTCTGCTCCATATGTGTACAAAAACAAGTTGGACAGTAGGGGTGTACAATTATCATCCATTGGTGTACCGACTATCTGTAGAAAACAAATATGTGAACGATCAAAAAGTCCAGCATTTTGATGATATCACCTTCGTTGTATTGGATACCTAAAACAATTAAAATGTGTATTTACAATTCTCATTGTGTCGAAACATCTTTGTTCGATCTTTTAGTTGAGTAAGGGTATAACAAATGTAGTAGCATAAGCGTAGACAAATCATAAGTTCTGATATTACTAACAAATTGTAAAGATTGGGATTGGCGATTTTGCCGTAGAATTTCTAGAATCCAAGTCTGATGGACACTGCTAGTTTAATATACCTCACTTCTATATTTATGAAGGCTAGTTTTTATTGTAGAAAAAAAACTCTTCAGAATAATGGATGTGATAGAATACGAAAACACAAAATGAAAAACCAATACAGAGCAAAGTCAATATAGAAAACATGGAAATAGCTGACCCAGACATGGAGCGGCAAATTTCTGTCTAGAAAGTTGTGCCCATTAAAGGAAAAACCATTCCGGTGTGACAATGAAGAGAATTGACAATTTCATGAGCATCTGGTGGGGTTTTACCAAATTTTATTTCAGCACTCGTCTTTGCCTATTTGTTACGCTCGATCACTAAATTCCGTTTTACTTACCCTTCCATAGCTCCTGTGATCGTCCCCGGTATCTGGTGGCGTTCATGTTGATCATATTTTAGTATTCTTTGTAGTGTTTTATCGTTTCGTCGTGTTAAGTTTTGTTCATGGAATAATGTGTTATTTTTTGTTTTGTATTGTGCATTTGAAATCATTTTGATCGATTTTATTTTCAGATTTTGCGGATAATCGTTACTTTGTTTACAGTATTTAAACATTATATTTTATTGTTTGACAGAAAACGGAATATTTACAGCCTATCCTACCCAGAGAGAAAATTGGACTCAATCTGTAAAATTTTGTCTAGCACAAGACGGGTTGGTGAGTTCTGTAGAGATTGTAATGAATGAAAGCTTACTTAACGTAACAGATGGCACATACTGGGTGTCTGCGTTTCGTGGTATATCTGTACAAGGTAAATGTTAAATAAATAGGATAAAAAGTATGGGCCAATTTCCCCTGAACATATTTGACGCTAGGATCATTTTCAAAACACTCTTACAATATTGACTTTCACAATATCACAGCTTTGTGAGTGAAGTTTCAGATTCATATGGCTCATATCTAAACATAATAGAATATGGGAAATCTTTAGTATTTATACAAAAGAATTAAAAAGGGAAGCCAATAAACAAAACGAAAAATATATGGGGAGTATAAGTATCTACTGACATTTTTATTCAGTTTAGGCAAATATGTCATTCGATGCAAAATTAAGAAAAAAATACGTTTTGATCCTCAACAGCAATATAGTATCTGAATAGAATAATTAGAGGGAATGTTAAGAAGTGCTGGACAATGTTTCAACATAAAATAAAAAGATGTTATATGATTGCCAATGAGACAACTTTCCACATAAGTCCAAATACGTGGATGAAAGCAACTATAGCTCACCATGCGGCCTCAATCCATACCGTATAGTCAGCTATAAAAGGTCCCTACATGACAAAATGTGAAACAATTCAAAAAATGAAAAAAAAAGCCAACGACCTTATTTATAACGAAACAATAAACGAAAATCAATATAACGAACAGCTACCAACGACAACCACTGAATAACAGCCCCTGACTTGGGACAGGCTGCTATAGAATGTGGCCGGGTTAAACATGTTTGTGAGTGCTCAACTCCCCCTAACCTGGGACAGTGGTGAAAATTACGAAGGCTTTTTAATTTAAAAATTTAGGTTAACTTATACAAATTTCAGATTTTTTATCCTGTAAGAGAAACAAATACAGGGGAAATGAGACCTACCGTTTTTTGTACATATTAATATCATTAGAAAAAAAAACCAATTAATGATTATGTACATTTTCAGAGCACAAATCGTCTAGCAAACCTTTAAAAAACAAAAGAAAACAATAAACACAAATAGAATAATACAAAAACTAACACCACCAAAAAGTCTTCTGATAAACAGCATATGAATTCATTCATTCACAATATAGATTCAAACACACATGCTTTAATTACTGAATGTTTGTTCAAACGTGTAGGGTACAAAATTTTCTAAAAGTTCTTACTATCTTCTAGATTCTGACAATGACTTCTGTGTTGCGTCTTTTATTGAAAATGGCAAGAACATGACACCTATAGTAAAATCATGTGAAGTTAGACTTCCCGTTTCATGTCAAAGTGGTAGCTCTGATCTTTGGAACGGGACATCACGTGAGTGTATAATGTCAGGAAATGATAAAACTTCAACAAACAGCTACGCCACAACAAATATGGCAAACATTTCAGGTAATGATCAAATAAAACAAAATGAAAATTTGTTGTCACAAATACGTTTGCAAAATATCATCAATATTGCACAGGTAAAACATTTCCTTGCTATAACAATTGCTTAAAGTCAATTAAGTATTATTTTGAACATACGAAACCAAATATTTAAATGAATTTACGCACTATAAACGGACTATTGAAACTTAACACATGCTTGCACATGCACTTGGGTACAGGATTTGGATATTTTATTTTCATAGTTTGCACTGAGTATTAAAGTTTCTATTTTTATACCACATACTTACACTACTAAGCTTTTCTTAACAGAGTGGCGAAAGATACCAAAGGGACATTCAAACTCATTAGTCAAAAATAAACTGACAACGCCATGGCTAAAATAGAAAAATACAAACAGACAAACAACAGTACACAACATAGAAAACTATAGACTGAGCAACATAAAACCCATCAAAACTGGGGGTGATCTCAGGTGCTCCGCAAGGGTAAGCAGATCCTGCTTCACATGTGGCACCCGTCGTGTTGCTCATGTTAGTACAAACCCGGCTATAAGTCTTATTTGGAAGGTCACATTCCGGGGAAAGGGGACGGGATTTTAGTTACGACAATTGGAACATATCCGTTGTCATCCGTGAAAAGGATTTTCAATAACGGTCCACCAACTCGTGATGGCGTCCGTAAAATTTACGGAGGGAGGATTTCAACTGCATCACTTGGAACTCTTGGTTCAATAGCTTCCTTGTGAGCAGACAACCTTCTAACAAGGAAATCATGATTTATTTCTTACCTTGGTTTCCCTTACTTCCACTATCCATACTTAAAAACAACAAGGCAAGCAACTCGACGCCATTTTGTTTGTCATTTACGTGCCAGTAAGTTTTGTTAAAAATGCATGGGAGGCTATTTGTTCCAAAACATTCACCTTAAGGGAAATAATCTCTTTTCTGTCTTTTTGGTACTCAACCCGACATTTAATTTAGCTCAGACGAAGTTTGAGAGTTGTTCCGAAAAAGTCCGGGAAAAACTGGCTATCTTTAATAAAACATCCGCGCACGTAAATGACTGTTAAAACAAAAAGGATTCGAGTTGCGTGTCTAAGTTGTTGTGTTAAGTATGTGGTATAGAAAATTAAAAATACAGTGCAAACAATGAAAAAACAAATTAGATCATGTACCCAAGATCCTGTGGATGCTTGCACAAGATATATAAAATTGTTTCAGCAGCAATTTTTCAAAAATTTTCTTGTACCTTTTGAGGGTTTAATTAGGCTGAATACGCATTGCCAACAGTACCATCAGAGATCCTTGATACATGTACATATGGAATGATTGGCTATATACCAACATTGTATAAAAAGGGCTACATAATTCTTATCTTCTTCAAAATCGTTTGATGATTTCAATAACTATTAAAAGTATGTACTTTAGTTAATTTTCAAATTGTATTCCAATTTTAGAATTTTTTGCAATATATTTCAGTCCAATCCCAAATGTTGAATGAAAGAATTCTGATAATTATAATTGTCAGTGGAAGTATTGGTTTCGTTGTTTTAGTTATAGTTGTTATGTGAGTATTTTTATTATCTTATTATTTTTTACGCGGGTGGAATATATAGTAATTGGGAGTCCGTTCATTCTTCTGTCCCATTTTTGTATCCACAACTTCTCCCGAATTGCTTGACACAATTTATTTTAAGTGAAATGCGATTTTTTTTTGGGTTTCCCTATGCAATTCATATAATTTACCATTACTTCATGTAGGGGTGTGCATATCATTTTGTTAGCTTTGTTCTTAGGACCTCTGGTTTACCAAAAAAAAAATTAAATCGATTTATTTTCGCGATTTTCGCACGTCAAGTAGAAAAAAAAACTGTAAATCGTCGAGATAATGTCGAATTTGTGTCTTTTCTATTCAAATACATCAACAAATTTATAATTAAATTCACGAAAATAAATTGCTGCCAGGTTGGCTAAAAAAGACTAGACTCAAAAAATGTATATGCGTACAAGTCGAAGAAAAACCAATATCGCCATTAGAGACGATAAGAAAACATGCCAACAAAACACTATACAGAAAACGAAAGATTAAGCAACACGAACACCACAAATAAAACTATAAACGGGGGTGAACTCATTTGTCTCGGAAGGGATAGCAGTTTCTATTCCACTATCGGCAACCATTGCACTGCTCATTAAAAGTAAAAATTCGGTGATAAATTTTAGTCGGTGACGTCACAATCGAGGAGGTAAGCACAATATATTGACCACGACGAGTTGAACACACATATATATATGGTCATCATTGATACTGATTCCATTCCAAATCATGATGGAGTTGCCTTCACATTGGACAAAATGCTTTATTGTTTTCTTCAAACATGAACACTCTTATTAATAAATCTACGATGCCTATGTGTAATGCAAACTATAATCTTTTACAATGTAGGACAAGGAATCATTCATATCCCCTCAAAAGTCTTTATAGTGTATAAAAAAAAAGAGAAATGCACTCAAGGATGTTTGCTACTCTGTTTCAAAATAACAATTTATAAATTGATAGTATGAAATTAAAGGAACTAGAAAAGTAGAAAAAAATGAAGGGTCTGTGTGCTTGCTTTCGAGATATAAGCCATCGAAAATTTGGCGGGAAATGATTCTCTCAAGATTTTTCATACATCTAACATTGGTACCTTTTTTCTTTCAAAAAAAATGAAAAAATAACAAGGATTTTATAAGATTTTGAAATATGGTTTTTTAAACTATATGTAATAAAATTATGAAAAGAAAAGTAGGGGTTAATGGGCAAAATTTTTAATGGCACTTAAAGGATAAAGACAGAGGATTCCTAATAACTGACAAAAATTCAAGAACAAGAGGAGCGAACATCCTTAAACAGATATTTGATGACAAAAATGCAGTAGCTTTAAAAGACCTTTTTTAAATTGTAGCATTCTGATTTGTAAGCGGAGAAAACGGACATCGAAAACTGAAAATGTAAAATCAAACTTTCATGAAAAGACAGTAAAACATGAGTTGTATGCTGAGGTATTACCTGAAGTGGAGTATAAAAACGACTCAGGTGAGAGGTTATACATATGAATATAAAAGAATATGTTAGATATACGGCATTGAGGCTGCATTTAAGGTAGCACTACCGTCTGAATATTCTGACTCCAACCAACAGTGTTTAGGGATTAATTTTTAAAATCTTTAACTGATTTTAAGGCTGAAAAATTATTCTTTTTTAATCTATAGATAATTTATTTTTTTGGTATGACCATTTAAAAATATAGCTCATTAACTACAAAATAAGTTCTCTCCCAACTTGGATGAAAATAGCACATTTAGTATGCTGGAGTTTCTTATTGACAACATATTTGTTGAATTTGGAGGTAGACTTTTTCAACAAATTGTTGGCATTCCTATGGGAACGAACTGTGCTGTCCTCTTCTCATTTTCATATGCGTCGTAGTTCCTTCAGACAAGAAGATCAAAGAAGCCAGATCATCTAATTTCAGATTCAGATATATTGATGATGACCTTTCCATTAACAATCCAAACTTTTCTGATTGGGTTCCATTAATATATCATCCAGAAATAGAAATTAAAGAAACAACGGACACGGCTTCCTCCGCCTCATTTTTAGACTTATACCTCGAATTTGACATAAACGGTCATCTCAGTACCAGAATCTATGACAAACGATTTAATTTTGAAATTATCAATTTCCCCCACCTTAGTAGCAATATACCAACTTCACCTGCATATAGGATATACATTTCTCAACTCATTCGGTATTCAAGAGTTTGCAGCTGCGACTCAGACTTTATAAAACGTCACCAGTGTCTTCGCAGAAGGTTGATGAATCAGGGTTATGTCAAAGAACGTCTCGTCCTTTTTCTAAAAAAGTTCATCGGAAAATACCAAGACCTTGTTGATAAATATTCTGTATCAACTTCACAAATAATACATGATGGTCTTGAGGTATAGATTCTAGGTCATGTAGGTACTGACGTTGTTTGTCATCTTACTTACGTGTTATAGTGTTCTTTTATTTGTCTTTGTAAATTATTAACCTTTACTGTTTAGTCCATTTTTGGTAATATCCTATTGGCGTGGCTCGGTACTTATGCATCCCGCCATTGTGTTGTTGTGCTGTGGGCATTTTTTGTATTCTTGTCTTTCATTTTTGTTTATGTGCTTTGTCTATATGCCATTTTGTTTTTCTTTGTTGACATATTTGTTGGTTTTTATAGTGATTAAGAATATAACACAATGTTGACTTCTGTACTCCTATCTTTGACATTTTTATCTATTATATCTGTTTGTTTTGTTCGCATATTGTTGTCAATGTGGTGGGGTTTTGTGCGACTGTCATGCGCGGGGGGGGGGGGGGGTACCGTTTGTCAAGCTGTGGGACCGGGTTTTACCAAGTCAGGAATAAATATGACCGTTGTTTTCCATTCGTTTGATGTGTTTGAGCTTTTGATTTTGCCATTTGATAAGGGACTTTCCGATTTAAAGTTTCCTTGGAGTTCGGTATTTTTGTTATTTTACTTTTTATGTATAATGGTAGTAAAAATTGGTATATCAATTCACTTTACTTTCTTAAACTGTTGAAACCTGATTTGACCTTTTTTCGGTAGATTGTTCTGGTTCATGGACACGACTATTTATAAAACGTCAATTATAACTAAAAGACATACTAGATGCAGTAAAAGAGGATGTAGATGGGGGTTAACAGATTAGAGAATAATGGGCAAAAAATAAAAAGAATAGAGAAAAATGGGCCAAAATAAATAAAGAATAGAGAATAATGAGGTGCTAAAATATAGAGAATAGAGAATAATATGCAAAATGTATAAAGAATAGAGAAAAATGGCCTAAAAAATTAAAGAATGCAGAAATGATGGACCCCTATCCAGACCCTCATAAAATTTTAATCTGCCAGCAGCACCAAACTATCACAAAATAGTTTCTATTAAATTTATTACAGGTGTAAGTCCTCGTTACAGAAGAAAAACTAGATATAAAATAAACAAACTAAGGAATGAAGAGTTGTTTGCCTACTATTTTCTCTGAGTGCATATGTACAATTAACCTTGGCCGCATCCATCTGGGTTGAATCAATGTCATCTCGTACCTTTCGAATACCAGCTCGTACTTATATACAACCAACTCGTATCTGGAGTTTACCATTTTTTTCTTTATAAAGTCGTACTTTTACTACACATGTAACTAACACCCTTATTGTAGATCCTATAGAAGTATACAAATTTGTAACATGAATGTTAATTTTTCCTCTGATCCTCGAGTTCGCATACAATATAAAAATAAGGAGATGTGGTATAATTGCCAATGAGACAACTATCCACCAAAGTTCAAATGAAGTGGATATAAGCAATTATAAGCAACCGTACGGCCTTCAACAATGAGAAAAACCCATACCGTATAGTCGGCTATAAAAGGCCCCGACATGAAAAATACGAAACAATTCAATTGAGAAAACTAACGGCCTAATTTATAACAAAACATTTACGAAAAACAAATATGACAGACATGAACCAACGACAAGCACTGAACTATAGGCTCCTGACTTGGGACAGGCATATAAAGAATACAAGTCTGATTATCAAAACCTATCATAAAAATAATACGGACTCTTCCTCTTTCACTGGTGAAACCTGTCTGATATTATTCAGGATCATCTGTACTTTCTGTAGTGTCCGATCGTCAAATATTCGTACGGTGCAATTTCAGTTAAACAATTATTTAAAATGGCAAATACACTGAAGTTGATATCTTCAAAACGCTGGACTTTTGGATCCATGAATATCTTGTTTGGTTTGATGGATTGATATTTCAACATACTGTCGGTATTCCAATGGTACTAATTGTGCACCTCTTCTGACCGGCTTGTTTTTTTTTCTCATATGAAAGATTTCATACAGAACCTTCTCAAAGACTTAAAGAAAAAGCATCTTGCAGATATATTGATGATGTCATTTCACTCAGTAACCCACATGTATCTCAAATATCCGAGTGAATTTGAGACTGGGATACTATCGGAACTATGATGTCTGCTTCTTATCTTGATATGTTCCTCAATATTGACACAGAAGGACAACAGGAATCATGAGAAAAGCGACGATTTCAGCTTTCCAATTATCTATTTCCTATGTCTCAGCAGTATGGCGTTTACATATCTCAATTGAGACGTTACGCGCGTGTATCTTACAGGCATAATTAACAATGGTGTGCTTTTAACACAAAACGACTACAACAGGATTATGAAAAACGACTAAATCGACACTATGATACGATGTGTTTTTTGTCTAAACTCACTAGCGACATGTTTTCGCAGTCTGAAATATTTACATACTAGAATAGTCATTTGATCTGTAATTCTATCGATTGTGACATTTTGACTATGTCTGCATTTGTATGACGCACATGGTCTCGCTCCTTTTGGAGTTCATGAGAATCTCTCAGTTTTTGTCTGTTACCTTGATTTATATCTTCTTTATCGATTATTGTGATTTGAACATTGGTAAACTACTGTTGCGTAAATTTATAGAGGGTCTTCTATGATAAAATAATCCGACATAAAATGTTACGAACCTTTAATAACAGTACATCATTTAGCATTTGTTTTATATATATCATAATGACTGAAGATTGAAATTGTGAAAAAATTAAATATTGAACTTAACCACAAATGGAGCAGGAGCTGTTTGTCCTCTCGGAGACTTTGAATTTGGTCCCATTTTTTGAAAGAATTTGTATTGGTCAATGTGTGAGGGTCTGGATGGGATTTACAGAATAGAGAAAAATGGGCACAAAGTGCGGAATAATGGGCAAAATATATAAAGAATGGAGAAAAATAGGGCAAAAGAATGAAGAATAGAGAATAATGGGGTGCTAAAATATAAAGAATAGAGAATAATGGGGTGCTAAAATATAAAGAATCGAGAATAATGGGGTGCTAAAATATAAAGAATAGAGAATAATGGGGTGCTAAAATATAAAGAATAGAGAATAATGACCTGAAAATTAAAGAATAAAGAAATGAGGGACCCCCATCCAGACCCTCATGTGTAAGTTGTGATTTGCGGACTGTTGTTTGTCAGCTAGAACTCAATCCTTTAACCATGGTGCTGTCTTTTGTTTTGTTTTTCGACTTATGCTTTAAACTTCTACATCAGCACTTTTTTTCAATTTTTTTCTCTAATGAAATTAAATGTGTACTAGAAAACTTACATGTAAATTTTAAAATCATCCGAGTAATCTCTTCGTTCGCCTATTATTTTCTTTTCATCTATTTATTAATATATCTATTAATAACTCTTGTGAACTGAACACTTCATAAATCGTTTGATAGCTTTTATGTTTGAGCAACACGACGGGTGCAACTTGTGGAGCAGGAACCACTTTCACATCCGTGGCACACGAGTTCACCTCCGGTTTTTTCCCCATGCATTCATAGTATTTGTGTTCAACGTATGAGTATCGAATGTCCCCTAGTTTGCTATGCTTTTAGTACTTTTTCTATTGTATTAGCTCGTCAAAGTGTATTTGAGTTCAGAGTTTACAAATATTTTGTACTCGAGCATCACCGAAAAGAAATTATTTGTCGAAACTGAAAAAAGATACCAGGCTTATTATTAGTTTTAGAAAATGCACATCCGGTGCAGTAAAATTGATACTGTTTAATGTTTTTCATCTGATGATGGCAAGTTCGTTAAGTAATTTTGTATATTAAATTAATACACCATATCTGTCTTTACCATTACACGAAGGGAAATTTATAAATATTGACAAATGTATATCACTGTGTCCCAAGGATACATGTATACATTGTAATGTAAACTTATTAAAAAAAATCATACCGGTTTTATCGTGCATGAAACGTCTTTTCATCGTGAATGTTCATCTTCTCTGAAATGACTTGAGACATTTAAGTGAAGCACCATAAGACATAAAAAATGATCATGTTTCAATAGTATTGTATTGAAAAGTAGCAAAGTCCGCCCTCCCTGTGAGTTGCTTCCTTTATGAAAATTTTAATCAAATTCTGTAATTTAAAAATTGAATATTGTTTGTTCTGATTTGTGGCATTTACTATTGTTTGTTCTGATTTGTGGCATTGACTGTCCGTTTCTGACCAACACAGAGTATTTTCAAACTTTTTTCTTGGTATAAACGAGCAAAATACATTGTGTTTATTTTTTTCAGAAACCATCAATATTTATGACCACACAGATACATCCCAGATTCCTTCTAAATTCGATACAAATCTTCCCAGTGAATATGACTCTATGGCGGGTATCAAACAGGAAGCGGAAGGTCTTTATGATGAGAGCGCCACCTGTCCGTCTGGTAATACTCAAACGAAGGAGATGGATGGATTGTATGATCATTGTTAAGTTGGAGTCACATGATTATTCTTACTTTTGATATTATGTAAAAAAAAACTTGCTTTTTTTATTTTTTATATTTGTTAATTGTTTTGAAATGTTTTTACTTTTTATAATTAAGTTCTGTTGACCTTTTTAATTATTAAATGGTTTTTGTTTTTCAATTAACTTTAACGTGTTTAATATATATTAAGAAGATGGAATATAATTTCCAATGAACTAATAATACACTAAAGACCTAATGAAAAGGATGTAAACATCTACAGGTCACAGTATGGCATTTATCTATGAGAAAAAGACCTTGATACCGTATTGTAATCTGGAGATGACCACGCAATTTGTAAAAGAGCCAGTGTATTGCAAATATCTATATATATTGAAATATATGTGCGGATTTTTTATTTTGATGGGAACCTACTAAATTGTATGTTTTAAATATAATGCAGAATATATATCCCCCTTTTAGTCATCGGATATTATGGAAAGAATTATGACCTTATTTGCTATCTACAAAATTCACCATCCACCAGTCAGTTATTAGTCACAAAACATCACAGAATAGATTTTACTCAGTCGGTGTTAATTTAGGTCCCATTGGATACTGTCAAAAAATACAAAAGAAGGACAGAATGAACTCCGGCCAATGGAACACATACATGTGATCATATAGCACAGATAATCCATAACGAGCAATCGAATCATAATGGCTCCTCCGAAATTTTAAAGAGAAGACTAAAACTTTACCAATGAAAACTCTTAAATACAATAATTCGAAAGAGGCATGTTGTCACTTAAATTTTTCTGTCAATGTCACATGCTTGTAATGTTGTTGTCCTTTTACTTTTTGTTGTTGTTGGTTTTTTCCCTTTTCAGTTCACCTTGCTCACAGGGCCATTGTGAGATTTTCCCATCACTTGGCGTCTGTCGTCGTCGTCGTTCGCTGTTGTCGTCCGCTCACTTTTAAAAAAAATTCTCTCCTCTGAAACTTATGGACCAAAACTTGGCCACAATCATCATTGGAGTATCTAGTTTTTAAAGAAACGTGTATAATGACCCCAACTGCAAGCCAACATGGCCGACATCTCTTGGATAACATGCTAGCTTTGTCTTTTGTCTTGAAAATCGTTATAGACAAACCTGACTAGCTAAAACTGTACATAATGTTGAGATCTATCTACTGTTCGTTTATATCAAATTCAAACTATCATATGACATCTTATAGGAGTAATTGCCCTTAAATGATGAATGTTTAACCCACCCTCCCCCCAAACACACACACACACACACACGCACAAACACTTTTTGTTTATAATCGTAAAATCTATAATAGATAGACAGAAACTTGAAATAAAAAAAAAATAATAAGCTAGACAATATCTACATATAAGTCAGCATAGTTTTAATCATCAGTCGACTCATTGTTGAAGTCATTGCCCTATAATGGAATTTTAACAATATTTTTGTGTTTTTGCCTATTATCTTGAAAACTAAACTAGATATATAAAAACTTTAAGCAAATTATGATCTGCCAGACCAGATCTACCAATAGATTAGCATACTAGATGAAATTGTTAGTTGCCTGCCTCTAGGAGTTATTGCCCTTAAAAGACGATGTTTACCCTTTTGGTGCTATTTGGAAACACACTATAGAGGATAGAGAGAAACCGACACATAAAACATAATTAGCAATACCAGATCAACAAAAACATAGATTTTAGTCATGAATTATGTTCTATATAAATAAGAAGATGTGGTATGAGTGCCAATGAGACAATTCTCTATCCAAGTCGCAATGTATAAAACAGCAAGCGTGGATGAGTATTTATACATCCCAACACCATTATATTGAATTAACAAATAAAGAACAAAGATATAATAAACATGTGAAAGCTCTCTTTCAGGCAAACAACCCATAATTGTAAAATATAAGGGCATACACCACAAGCACGGGGACACATTCTACTGAATCCACACAGCACGAGCTACAATTTTGTCCATTGTTGAAGATGAACATAGACCTAGAGCTCTTCAGTGCCTCTAGTTTGGTTTTTTGTATGGCTTGTTATTAAGTGATAATCTAGCACTAATTACTGCCTTTCTTTATTCGTGTATCATATGAGGTACGTTTCCTTATGGACTGAATCCGACTTCAAAAGTACAGAGAACCCTATACATAGTCCATCGCTAAGAGCTGTGATAATTTTAAGGCAGTGACTATTTTGCCGTTACAGGCAAAATAAAAAATATGCTATTTTGCCGACTCTTATTAAAATATCTTAATTCAAGCCGACTAAAATAGCATATTTCTATAGAAATAGCTATTTTACTGGCACCGGCAATATACAGAACTTGTTATTTTGCCGGTTCTTTGTTAAGAGTGAAATTTAATATTCACTTTTGAAAAGTACTACGAAAATGTGCACTTTCAACATAAAAGAATCAAATAATTACTGATATACCGGAAGTTAAATAAGAAAACAGCAAATAATTTTGAGATACATATAATCGTTTAAAAACATTTATCAGTCAAAGTGAAAATTAGAATTTACAATGTATAACAAGAATTGAAATAAAAATATTGAGAATCCATTTGTTGCAATGAAATCATATCAAAACATGTAGTTGGAATTATTTCTAAAATCAGTCACAGTCTTATGGTACATGTATGTATAAGAATAAAATCTCAGATTTTTTAACTGTAAGTTATAAAAAAAAAATAAAAGTTAAAAATCTCATTGCATCATAAATTTGATAAAACATTATACAATGTCACAAAATCAATCACATAGATTCAAAAATCAAAAATTTTAATTTCAATTTGCTTTTGAAATAATAGTCAGTTCTTTGAATTGCATATAAAATGTAAACAAAATAGTTTTTTACTTGGCTTCTGCTTACCTAGAGCCGGCAAAATACCATATCTGCTATTTTTCCAGCGACGGCAACAAATTCACTATATTGTCGGTGTAGGTAAAAATAGCCATTTCTATAGAAATATGCTATTTTGCCGGCTTGAATTGAGATGTTTTAATCAGAGCCAGCAAAATAGCATATTTTCTATTTTGCCGGTGCCGGAAAAATAGCCACTACCTAATTTTAACAGACTTAGTTCAGACTGGGAACAGTATATATATATATGTTCCTTGTTCAGAAAATAAATTTATATGGATCATGAGTAAATGAGGATAATAATATTGTCTATATATTATTTAAAAAACTAGCTTCATTGTATGAGAACCGAGCACATTTAAGCAAGATTAAAACCAACAATGAACAAAAAAATACAGCTGGAGATAATCCGATCAATAAAATATTAGTTACTATGTGTTTCCATTATTTTCTATTTCGGTTTTATGGTGGGGGGCTATCTATAGCAATGTATTATTATTATTGGAATCAAGAAAAAACTAAACAAATCATTGCAATTCTTTTTTGTTTTTGTTTGACATATTATATTTATTTATGTATGATTCATTGAAATCAATTTGCTCATTGTGGGTGCTGTGATTGGCAAAATATTTTTCGTTAGTAATTCCGTCTCCGTTTTACACCCAAAGAAAGACAACTCTTACTTATAAAGGGAGACAACTCATAATTATGAAATGATTGACTAATTTATTGATTATCTGTTGGTTACGCCTTTTGAAGCACACTTGGATATTTCATTGCTGTCAGTTTTTACTGAAGAGGTAGCCAGAATACCCGGATAAAACCACCGAATTTCGGTAAGAAAACTGCCAATCGTAGGCAATTAAGGAGTCGGAGTCGAACGCACCTTGCATAATTAGTATTAGAACTCACAAGTGGTGGATGTTAAAAGGATAACCATTGTCAAAGGAACGAGTGAACTGCTCAGACGGATCCGGGTGTTGTAATTCCCGATAAATGAAGATTACTTATACTAGAAATGCATAGAATAGAATAGTGAATATTTTGTTATATAGTGTCCATAAAGAGCATATAAATCAGATGCAATGATGAAGTAATTGAGTCAAAAATAAGACATTACAATATAATATAAATATCACCATAAGCCTCAGTCAGAATCAGAGACAAAACAAAATAAAACAAAATAAAAAAAAATAACAATAAATGCATTGATATATATATATATATATATACAGATATATATATCCTGAGAAACATATTTAAAAAAAAAAACGACAAGAATACATACATATCAAGTCATGCACACATACAACTAAACCTTAGAAAGCAAGCTTTCTTATAATGCATATACATGTACATAAAACACAAAAGTTCTATCTGAGATTGAAAACTATAACAAACTTGAATGTTCTATCAATCAGCTTTAACACACACATTAAAGCATGCACTTACGGGCTAAAACATTTAAGCAAAAGTAAAAGGGATTGCAACATAAAAAGGCTCATAGAGATTGGGTAAATAACTATAAACATAATCACAAAATAGAAGAACCACTATATAAGTTTAACAAAAAATTTTCCATGCTGAAAACGAAGCATTTAACTCAAAACAATGAGCAGAATTAACTGGCTTTGCAGGCGAAATATTGGCATGGGCTGCCAGACCAAGAAATTATCAAGTTCTTGAATTGATTTAAAGATGATTACTTACTCAGCTCATCTGGCAGCTCATTCCAAAGTTTTACACCCTCATACCTTAAAGATTGTAGGCCATATGAAGTTGTGGTAGGTTTGCTGTACGTATTCTGGTATCTAAAAGAGTAAAAGTTTTCCTTTAAGTGGATTAAATCATGAAGATATACAGGACATTTGTAATGTACAAAAGATCGTGTTAGGTCAAATTTTCATCACATTACAACACAACCGACCTTAAAATCAATAAAATCCATGAAATTAGGTACCCTACAAACAATATATTTTAACAACCATAATAGAAGGTTATATATGGTGACCCAGTGTTATGATCTAGCTAAGCAGATATGTGCCAAAATTAGTAGCCCAGTTCAAATTTTTGGTCCTTGAGCTACTGGATCCCTTCTTCTTTCGGTTTTCCATACTTTAAATTTATATATTTTGGTAGGTTCCAATTTTCGTGGATTAAGAACAAATACGTGGTTTCCCTATACCCAGGAAATAAAAATTTGTACTCCTTGAATAATAATGAATCTACAGTAAAATAAAATTATCTGAGTTATCTCCCATTATAAGGCAATTTAAAACAAAAAAAAATTGAACCTATCTAGATTCAATTTCGTGCAATTCAAAAGAATAACTTCTTACAGAAAAGTTATTTGGTATTAAATGTATAACGAAATTATGATAAATCAATGTGCTTTTTATAAAAATAGCCTTTTATATCTATTGCAGAAAAATAACCATATTATGAAACTGTAACAAGGTTTATGGCTTTATAATGGTACCCACTTTGGTGTGACAGTAAGTAAGTATGTTTAGAAGAAAAAAATCATTTTTTTTTCGTTTTTCTAATTAAATCTACAGAATTGAAATTTAAAACAAGGAAGCATTTTTTTGTTATATAAAAATATATGTACAAACAGGAACATATATATTGACGGGACTTGACACTACCTGATTGTAGTCGATTTTATCGTCGTGCCATAGTTAATAAAGATACGATACAGAAACGGACATGTGTTAAAAACGGACTCGCTATTATCCTAATAATTTCTGATATTATCAATTAAATGTCATTCAAACTAGTTTTATAGTGATGCTAGTGTATCAAACTTGTATTCTGTCACTTCAAATTTGTTAAAATCGCAAGCATTTCATCACAGAATTGTGCAGAATGCAAACCAGGTAATAAAAAAATGGCGGCCATTGCCGCGATGATTTACAAATTCCCAAACTATTATAAAACACTTCACATCAAATAAATCAAACTTATTTTGGTAATTTTATATGACAAAATATATCTACTAAATGATAAAACTTGTATTTATTTACAATTAGAGTTATGTGGTTTATTTGTTGAGCAGTTCTGATAGTTTTTCAGTCAGACGCTACCAAAATCCGTAAATCTTGGGAAGTCTCGGGGAGTCCGAGATTTTATCAATTTTATATTGAAAAGCGTATCAGATTCATTTCCCGTTAGATATACTGTTCCCAGGTACAAACTACTTGAAAAATGTGCCTTTTTTGTTTTCTGTTTTGTAACATGATATATCCCAATGTTATCAAAAGAAATTTTGATGTATTACTGAAGAATAAATCACAGAAAAAAATAGTGTTTATTATAAAAGTAAAGGTTCAAAAAGATAACTGTAAGGTTTATAGTGTAAAATTATTTAAAAACTAAACCAATTAGTTTTTAAAAATTAGAATGTTGGACTTTAAACAGTAAATATAAATAAGAAGATGTGGTATGATTGCCAATGAGACAACTATCCAAGATTGAAGAGAGTCGAAAAAGAGAGTCGAAAAAAAAAGAGGATTAATGTTAATGTCACACACACTAACTGTGACCTGTGACCCAGGTACACTTTTCAAGGAAATATATTATTCTGACACCTTATTGAACTATAAGTTGGCACACTGTGTAAAGAAATATTTTATTGGAAGTATGTGGACTGGTCTATACATTCCTCCTTGAATCTGAAGTTTTTGATACATTAGTTAACTGATAAAAATCCAGTAACCATGTAGAAATATAAAAATAAGAAGATGTGGTATGATTGCTAATGAGACAACTCTCCACAAGAGACCAAATGACACAGAAATTAAACACTTTAGGTCACTGTATGGCCTTCAACAATGCGCAAAGCCCATACCGCATAGTCAGCTATAAAAGGCCCCCAAAATGACAAATGTAAAACAATTCAAACAGAAAACTAATGGCCTTATTTATGTACAAAATAATGAATGAAAAAACAAATATGTTACATAGCAACAAACGACAACCACTGAATTACAAGACTAGTAGTCAAGTAGATGACAAAAAAATTGTATAGGGAATTGACTCTGTATCCTGCTCATTTGAATTGTGCCTTAAAGGGAATTTAGGTCAAAACAGTTTGATATTTTTCTATAAGTAGAAATCTGATTAAGCTACCAAAATTTTATTTTAATGTAATATCTTAAAAATTACATAGGAAAAAGGTAAAAATGATGAAGAATTGATATTTTTAAAATCATTGAAAAATCTCAAAAATGAACAATAAAAGGAGCAAATTATGACTTTTTATTTTACAAAAAATAGTTTTTTTCCTTCAAATGATGTATATGATGAGGATGCAATGAAATAATTGTTTACTGACTTTTTTTCTGCCAAAAAAAATAAACATGCTATGGACTTAATTTAAAATATTCAAATTAACTACAAATGTATATAACATTTAGGTGATTTTAATATACTTGTAAAGTGTCCAGCTTTGATTTATATTTTTCTTTAGCATTTCACAGCTTTTAATACATTAAATATTGACATTTAAGGGGAAATAACTCTATAACCACTTTACTTTTCTCTTTAATCTTAAATTGCTAGCTAAGCTGAAATAGTATCAAGTAGTTCATTATTTTTGAAAGCAAGATCATCACATTAACAAGTCCACTTTTGTTTTATTATGTTCTTTGTTTAAATTCCGATCAAGTGAATTAACTTTCATTCAAATATGTGTAGTGTTATAATAAGGTATTTTACCCTTCATCGGTCTTATTGTGCTGTCGGCAAACTTTTATCAATAGTCATTTAATTCAGGATCATGTGAAAAATTAGCTCAATATCAGATCACCATTAGAATTACGGACTTACTGACTTACAAATTAATCATTTTGGAATGAGGATTTTTATTTACTGAAGTTAGGATTTATGATTGAAAATTGTTTACTTTAATATGCTTTACAAGAATTTCTGTCAAATAAATAGTGATAAATAATTTCAAGGATAAAAATTCTATTAAGTCAAATGAATAGACAAAGGTGAATTGAATAGACAACGGCAAATCTCATGTTTTTAATTTTGCCTTTAAGATTTGTTTTTTTTCTCAACACTTGTGTGCTTATACGAGATGGAGATAATAAGAATTTTTATTTCAAATTAGGATTCAGGAAATAAAAAGGTTAGAATGAATTTAGAAGAAGTTGAAAACGGACGTGATGAAGTGGAAGACATTGAAACAGAAAGGTAATTTTATAAGATGAATTAACATGGTAGAGGCTATCAAGATTCAAAATTAGACGTCCACATTTCACAATTTGAAGTAAAATTATCAAAATAAGAAGATGTGGTATGATTGCCAATGATACAACTATCCAACAGAGACCAAATGATGTAGGTTAGCAAATATGGGTTTATACGGCATACTACATCTACCTTTAAACAATCTGATTGAAACACAGATCCTACCTCCATGCTCCTGTAAGAACTGACTGAGCTTAGTGTTACTTTCAGTTAAGCCCTATCTAGTGACTGACCACGATTTGTTTTCACAATTTTTATTCCCCAGGGGCATTATGTTTTTGGGTTTGTGCGTCTGTTCGTTAGTCTGTACGTCTGTTCGTCTGTCCGTCCGGCTGTCCCTGACTTCAGGTTAAAGTTTTTGGTCAAGGTTGTTTTTAATGAAGTTGAAGTCCAATCAACTTGAAACTTAGTACACATTTTCCTTATGATATGATCTTTCTAATTTTAATGCCAGATTAGAGTTTTGACCCCAATTTCACAGTCCACTGAACATAGAAAATGATAGTGCAAGTGGGCAGGTTAAAGTTTTTGGTCAAGGTAGTTTTTGATGAAGTTGAAGTCCAATCAACTTGAAACTAAGTACACATTTTCCCTATGATATGATTCTTCTAATTTTAATGCCAAATTAGAGTTTTGACCCCAATTTCACGGTCCACTGAACATAGAAAATGATAGTGCGTGTGGTGCATCTATGTACTATGGACGCATTCTTGTTTTTACTTTTTTAATGGCATCCATGTATTCATATAACAGAAGATTGAGTTTGACATATTTGAGACTATTTGTATTTGGATAATATTCTCCTCTTGTAGTTGCCTAAATATTTTTTTCCTGGAAATCAGTTTGTATACAGTATACTGAATATTCACAGTCCATTGACTTTGAGTTCTCCCAATGCTGTTTTATCATAAGGATACTAGAATAATATAATGATAAAGGAGTATGGCCACGAAGGTTTAAAATTGGCCCCAAAAATCAAACTTTGTTAAAACCAAATGTAAAAACCTTTATTTACGATCTTAAATTTGCAAATTTAGATAAACTAAATATTATTTTTGTCTGTGTTTATATTTAACATCTTAAAAAGTATGATATTTTACCAGTTTTTATCCAAATTGCCTGTTGTCATGCACTTGTAATGTCTTTTTCTTTCTGAAAAACATCCACACTCTTGGACCAAAATTATATGGTTATAAAAAGATGTTTATGGGTCAGATACACATCCTAACAAAAAATTGTGGTGGTCCTTGCATGTGGTCAATTTCATTTGAAGCAAAAACTATTCAAATTAAGGATAAAATTAGTCAAAATTATTATTTCCTTTATTTGAGTGTACATCATTATGTGTCAGAGCTTGCTTTTTTTTTGTCAGATAATTTTACATATTTTGTCATCCAAGTTTTATTTTTATTACTAAATAAAATTTCAATGAATTTTAGGGCAAATATAGACCCTTTGTGAACCTATCCTTTTAGGCCTAGTTGGATGAAGTGGTTACAATCATGGAATCAACTCCTCTTACAGTTTTCAACCCAAATCCCTAAATTCAAACAAATGATTGCACATATATTGATGTTTTGCACCTGCTATTATGGAATTGATTGAGGATTTCCCCCCCCCCCCCCCATTTTTCTAGATTTGGGAACTAAGTATTTTTTCAGCAAAGTTAACAAAAGACAGTATCTAGTTGTAGGTGTAATGATCTTCCTCAGTTTTTAACTCAGAACCTTGAGACTTTACAGATAGATTGCACAGATATGAAAGTTGTGCACCTGACTAGTTTTGAAAGAAAGTAAATACACTGGTGTCAAATGAAAATTATTCCATTCCTGTTAATGTAACTACATGTATAATATTACATGTATAGAAATATAGGATTATCAGAAGTATTTTTAAGGAAATAAGATATGTGGGCCATATAGTACACAATATCAGAAATCTTTACTGTTCAATTTCTGCTCTAAGAATGCTTGAGATTTGCTTTATGAGTTATAAACACTGTACTTGTCAATGAATGTCAGATTTAAAGAAATATGATTTTAGCCTTGCTTATTTTGATAAATCTGTTCCAATTCAAGTTTCAATATTATTTTTAATCATAAAAATAACATATAAAATTCTTTTTGATAGCACACAAATGAAATTGTTTCTTTTCGTGACATAAACATTTCACTGTACATTTGTACGTCAGAAGCAATTTAAATAGTTTGAATAGGAATATATCAAACTGTGATAAACAAATTTTATTGATCACAGATTTTGGTTTTCTATAATGAAAAATGATAAAAGGGTTAAGTCCTTACAAGTGAGAAACACATTTGTAAACATTTTTTTGATGTCTTGATATTAAAAGTTATAATAGGAACTAATAAAACAGGAGTATAATCAATGTATATATAGTATATAATAATATGAGCTGAAACTGTAATGTTATCAAATTTGTTTCTTTAAAATGAATTGAAATTTTAAAATCAAATTGGAAATTGAAACGCCTTGTGTTTTTGATGTCAGCTATTACATTGGTATTATTGAGTAAATTGCCTTTTTGTCCCCTTCCGGCAAAGTAAAAGGGGACATTAGGTTTGCACTAAGCCTGCCTGTCTGTCCGTCAGTCCAGTAAATCAGTTTTCAACACTTTTTTTCTTCCTGCTTGAAGATATTTATTTGATATTTGGTATATAGTTTAACCATGACTAGTTACAGATCAAGTTGAATTTTGTTTAGATGTATGATTTTTTTGCAGAGTAATTATATATGTTCTCTGATTGAAGACTTAGGAAATTCACGAAAATAACCAGTTTCCCACACTTTTTTTATGTTATATCTTAAAGATATTGGGGGGATTTGGATATAGTTTAACCATGACAAGTTACAGATCAAGTTGAATTTTGTTTAGTTCGTATGATTTTTTTGCAGAGTAATATGTATATGTCCTCTGAAGATTTAATCCCCAAGGGAGACTGGGGAATAGAAATATGGTCACTACAGGTCTTCCAACCGGCAGTAAAACCCTTGCCAAAGTTGGGCGTCCATTTTGCTGTGCCGGATGTATCAAGTACGCAGCCACCTCCGGTCAGAATAGGGACGTTATATCCAATGCCTTGTGTAGAGAGAGTGTCACGCTCTCTGCACGTTAAGAACCCTTGCAACAACTCTTTGAGGGGTCTGTAGGTGGCCTGTTGCAAGGTTAAATTTCTGTCCCTATCCAATATACCCTCATTTTCCCGACCTGCAACCCAGTTGACCTCTATTACCGGACCTACCTTTTGTTGTATTTATTGTTAATTTGTTGTCGTCCTGAACATGCATGAAATATTTGTCACTGGATGTTAAGCAACCATCAATCAATTAATCAATCAATGTGAAGACTTAGAAAATTCATGATAATAATTAGTTTCCCACACTTTTTTAGCTCACCGTTTTGAAGGAACGGTGAGCTTTTGCCATCACTTGGCATCTGTCGTCGTCCATCTGGTGTAAACTATTTCAAACATTTCCTCAATAATTACTGAACCAATTCCAACCAAACTTAAGCTGAATGATGCTTAGGGTATCTAGAATAAAGTTTGTGTTTTATTTACTGTTTCGTCAAATAGCATGGCCGTCATGACTAAAAATAGAACATAGGGGTAAAATGCAGTTTTTGGCTTATATCTCAAAAACCAAAGCATTTAGAACAAATCTGACGGAGTTAAAGTGTTCATTAGGTGAAGTTCTATGAGCCCTGAGATTTTCAGGAATCTGATAACCCGTTGTTGGGTTGCTGCCACTAAATTGGTAATTTTAAGGAAATTTTGCAGTTTTTGGTTATTATCTTGAATATTATTAATGATAAAGATAAACTGTGAACAGCAAAAATGTTCAGCAAGGTAAGATCTACAAATAAGTTCATATGATCAAAATTGTCAATTGACCCCTTAAGGAGTTATTGCCCTTTAAGGACGATTTTACACAATTTGTTTATCATGATTTCTTACTTTAAAAAATCTTCTTCTCTGAAACTACTGAACTAATTCCAACCAAACTTAAGCTAAATGATTCTAAGGGTATCTAAAATAAAGTTTGTGTTTTATTTTATGTTTTGTAGAAAAACATGGCCACCATGGCTAAAAATAGAACGTAGGGGTAAAATGCAATTTTTGTCTTATATCTCAAAAACCAAAGCATTTAGAGCTAATCTGATGAAATGTAAGAATGTTTATTAGGCCAAGCTCTGTCAGCCCTGAAATTTTCAGATGAATCTAACAACCCATTGTTGGATTGCTGCCATATAATTGGTAACTTTAAGGAAATTTTTCAGATTTTGGTTATCTTGAATATTATTAATGATAAAGATAAACTGTAAAACAGCAAAAATGTTCAGCAAAGTAAGATCTACAGACAAGTTTTGTATGACCAAAATTGTCAATTGTCCCCTTAAAAGTTCTTACCCTTTAAAATCAATTTTTTCACAATTTGCTCATTTAGTTTGCTTAAAAAATCTTAAATTCTCCTTTGAAATTGCTGAATCAATTTCAGCCAAACTTGGGCTTAATGAGTTTCAGAGTATCTAGTATAAATTTTGTATTTATTTTCTTGTACGTCAAGAAACATAGCCACTATGGCTAAAATGAAACATAGGGGTAAAATGCATTTCTTTGATTTTGAAGAAAATATGACAGATACAAAGAACATTTCAATGGAAGTTTTAAGCCATTCATTAATATATATTGAAAAGCAAAAATAATCATTGATGAAAGATTTAAGCAAAAAATTACAGGTGAGCGATTCAGGCTCTTGAGAGCCTCTTTTTTGTTATATCTTGAAGATATTGATGTAATATTTGTTATATAGTTTAACCATGACAAGTTGCAAATCAAGTTTGAATTTGTTCCATTCGGATGATTTTTTTGCAGATTTTTGGCCCCTCCAGAAAATTCTCTGTTATAATATTTGCATAATAA